CTGCCAAGCTTCATAGTTTTTGTGCTGAATCTGGGGTCGTACTCTCTATTAGGGGAGCGTCTTAGATACTGACCGGACCCTTAAACGCCGTAGAGAATAACTTTCGACACGTCTGTCTAAAAGATGTTGCGCCATTTCTCAATCGGTCCTTTGGCAAATTTAAGACGACTTGTTATATGTTTTTTTTTAATAACGGTACTTATCGAGGACTGTGGACGTATAAATTATGTTCATGTAGAAGTCTTCTCACTGTATGAACACCGCAGGCCAGGTTCAGTTCATTCCCAATCTCCATAGATGACATTCTAGGTCGAGTCTTGGCACATCTTACAACTATTGGTGCAAAATTCTTGGAAAGAATCCATATTGCGCCCCTTTTTTCGTCTTTTTACTTACTTTTTGATTGATAAAATTAAATATTTTTTAGTAAAAATAATCTGTGTCCAATCAGCTCACCGTTCACTACTATTTTAATGCTCGCTCATAAAGACAGATATCACAATATAATTAGCTGTAAAAAAGTAACGGTAAGTGTTTCGCACTTATTGTTGTGTATAACAGGACCGTTACACTACAGAGAATATAACTAGAATAATAAACTTCAATACCATAAAAGAAACAAAATTTAAAGCGAAACTATTTTTGTCAATAGCCACTACTATTTCAATACTCGCAACTGTATGTACATATGTACATATGCATATGTATGTAAAGCTAAAAGTCCCCATACGAGGTAAAATTTGGAGAGCAGCGAATGCGCTCTGGCGGCGAAGAGTACGCAATGACCCCACTCAATAACTCAGTTAATCAGTCAAAAACAAATACATAAATATACTTATACGCAAACAAATCAAAGTTCTCTGGGCACAGCAAATATGTACACATATGTAAGTAGTATTTAGATCAGCAGGTATCGCTGCGTTTTAGAGCGAAGCACAAAAATATTGAAAACAATAAACAAAATTGATAAAGGAACTCTGTATAGACCAGATACCAGATTCTGAAGACGGTAGTTGGCACAAGATTTGAAACGCTGATCCACAGTTTCGAAATAAAACTGGATTCTCTATTTACTTTACGTACACACTTGTGCGCATGTTAATATACATACATATATAAATACAAATATATAAATATGTATTTATGTACGTGCATACCTGTCTACAGTGCTGGCAAAAGCTTAAAATTTTGTTCAGTATTATATTTTCAAGGTCGCATTGTTCGCTATATGCCAATTACTTTTTGCTTAAAAAACAATGCATTGACGCTTACAGCCAATCTCAAATGTACAATTCCAAATTAAATATCAAGTATGCAAGATGTGTCAAAATTTGGGATTTATTCGAACAGAAAGCTTAAGTTAATTAGAAATTTATTGTAGAAATAAAATTCGAAAACACTTTTTTTCTAACATAAAGTGGACAAGATATTCTGCAACAGATAAGTTAAATGCTTACAAATATTAATTTTATATTTTACAAACATATTTAAATTGTCCCTGAATAGAGTATAATAAGGTGGCCATAAAGTTTTTAACACCTGTAAGAAAACATTGGAGACTCCACAAAATATACATATACAAATGTATTCACGAAAATAATATTGTCTGTAAAATGAAAAAAAAAAAGTCAGGTAAAACACTATGAACATAAGATTCAAAAGTAATTTTTAGTCATTCCTGCTTAACAATATTTATTTAAAAACAGAGCTTAAAAATTGGTCTGTAGTGTTTATTTTGTTTAAGCAAAAGCAAAAAAACAAAACAAATCCAGGTAAAAATTAAAATTTCATATAGTAAGTATTTTATATTGACTAACATTCGGTTGTAAAGATTGAATCTTTAAATACATTTATACGCCGACGTTATATGGAGACTAATAGATCCTGACAACGCCCATGGCACTTTAACTACCAGCCAAAATTATGTTATTATTATATTACACGTCTGTCTCTATATACGCAAAGTACTCTAACAAGATACCGATTTGGCAAAGGACAAGAAGCTACTCATTTGTCGGAACACTGATATCGGACCACTAAAGCATATAGCTGCTATACAAACTGAGTGATCAAAACCAAGTGCTTGTATGGAAAACTTTTTTATGTGACAAATTATCTTCACGAAATTTGGCATAACATATGCCCAAAGCAACAGCACAACCTCCGAAGCGACTTACCATGACCCATCAAGTTCTTGTATATAAGCTGTTACAGCTTCCGTGCAACCGAAGATAACTTTTATATTTATTTTTTCATTTAGTGAAGGTAAAATGTAGTTTTTACCAAAAATTTATTTTTGATCTGCGTTGCCCTGATATAAAATATGATTAAAGTTTTTCGAGAAATTATTAATAACATTGGGTGCTTGAGTTTAAGTGCTCACTGTATTTGAATGGATGCATTCATATATTTCACACACTAGTAGGGAGGAGTTGGATTATAGCTTTCATGGATATGGATATTGCAAAAAACTCATAATCAAGTTTGGCTACAGGCTTGGTGTTTATACATTACAAACATACAGATTCGACTAACATACGAGTGAAATACTCGGTATAAATTTGTTTTGATTGGAAATGGCAACCATCCCATTCAAATAATAGAGTAATTACGACTAATCATCAAGTAAGGTACCCAGTACGTAGGCTTAAATTAGGACGACTTAAATCATTTGAATTTGACAGAAGATCGTCAAATATAAGGAAGTTTTATTTATAAACAAATAATGATCTAAAAGAGGTTTAAAGAGGTATGTTTTTTTCTTGCGTATTCTTAGTAATATTTTGTATGGTTTCGCTTACAAAGTTATATGTTTTTTTGTTATTAAATATTATCAAGAGCAGATTGCTGATATCCAGCTATTAAAATTGTGGTTTTGGCGACTAATGATACTCATACATACACGTCAGTTAGAAAAACCACCAAATACTAACGCATTTAAAATAAAATAAGTGTTACTTAACCGCATAGAAATGTACCCAAATATTTCTAAATGCTATCGCAGACGATGTTTTGAAAAAATTCAAAAACTTTCTTTTTCGGTACAAAAAATTTATAATTTTAATTTATGCTGGAAAATATTTATCAGAAAATGGAACAATTCCTTGCACTGGATTAGTTGCGAAAAATCGATTAGCAAAGAGTATATGTGCCAGTAAGCGAACACTTTTTTCTAGTAACCGGGCTTTAAAGATCCAGTGTGTGGACAAATATATTTTGTAAGAAAACAAAACAGTATTTAAGAAAAATTTACTTTTTTGTTAAGAATACTAAAAATTCATTTAAAACAAATAAATTCAATAATATATACACCTCTTCACAATTGTATGCTTAAAAAGTAAAACTTGAAGTAACTGTAAATATTCTTAAGCAACACTAGTATTTTGAAATTAAATATAAAAGTGTTCAAACCCCAAAATAAATAACAGCAATTAACATAAAAACAAAACTAATTTGAATAAAACATCTAATACTGATGAATGTTAATTTAAAGCTTAATATTTTCGTATGCATTTACAATAATATTATCTCAAAAAAAAAAAAAAAAAAAAAACTATTGCAAGGAAAAATTTCACTTTTCAACTACCCATTTTCAGTACGGCACAGGCATGCCGTTTACTATATCTTTTGGTAGACCTTAGTAAGGGTAAATAACCATCGGAGGAAGTATACTGCCATAACCGCACTTAAAATATAATACTGTTATAGTAACCTTTTCTGACTCAGACGACATTTGGTAGAAGTTTTTGTTACCTTTCGCTGCGGTAACTTTTCCTGTTTTTGTCCTCGGAAAACCACTTTCTAAATAAATCCTTGCTAAGTGCAGCTCTGTGGGGGGACAAGTCAGAGTGGGAGCTATGTTGCCTAGTTGAGCTCCGGGGGACCGTGGAGGTCGATAAGTCGTAAGCTCGATAAGCGAAAAACCTTGATATTTCATAGTATTTCTTCGGTCCCTAGAAAAATTCGCGAAAAATGCATGTATTTCGGTCCCTTTGATAACTCGTATTTTTCTTGAGACAAAAATTGAAAAATGTGTATCAAAAGCCTCTTCAACTCGTATTTTTTCCTCAAAAGCATCTACAACTCGTATTTGAACATTTGAAATTCCCTCAGTTTCCACAAAGATTGCGAAAGCTTCAACTGAAAATTTGCGTCTTTTTTTCATGGCATCAAATGTTGAGGACAATATTTTTAATAAATTATCAATGTTTACAGATAATGCCATAGATAAAACACGCCAAAATAATGTCCGTCAAAAACATATTACGGATTTCTTTTAAAATGAACACTTTTCTTAATTTTTTTTACAATTTTTCAAAATACATACATACATATATTCATTGAATAACATATGTACTTTATATTTTAAAATTTAAATACGTACAGTCATTTCTTGTTTTTTATGTAAAATTGAAAAAAAAAAATTTAAAAAAAATCTATAATTCGTATATTCTGTGTGTTGCCTCTATAAGTTGTATAACTTGATAACTTGAAAAACTCCATAACTCGTATTTAAATTGTGGTCCCTTGCAAATACGAGTTATCGAAGTTTCATTGTAGTCAATTAGTCTTGTATGTCTCTATGGGTACCTCAATACCTCGAAAATTAATGAAATAAGTGACGTTAGTCAAAAAGAATGCAGACAATTTTCCGTTCATACGATATTGAATGGTGGACTTAAGAATTCCATAAATACTGGATGCTTTGTCAAAACTGAATATTTATTAACGCATTTTTAGGCACAATAATTTAAAATTCTTAACTACCGAAACCTCTATATCACTAGAAAAAAAAAAAACAATTTTCCCACTTCGCGATATGTGCACCAACTAAAATTCACAAAATTATAATTAACCTACCGTTATAAATCGATGGTTATTTCGATTGAGAATTTTCAATGCATGCCAGTTTAAACGATTTTCTTAGTTAAAATAAAAAACAAGGTAGTGTCCGACGATTGACGCACTTAACCCACAATGCATTAAAGAATACTGATAAGTTAATGTTGGAAAAAATTGTGAGTTTATTGTTCAACTATTGATAAGTTGGTTGATGTTTATATACAAACAGCTGGCAATTTGGAGTGAATGGTAACGCCCTCGCGGACATTTACTTCTAAGTGTATGAGTCGATCATCAGCTATGCCACACGATAATTCTGTTGATGGTATTTGTAGAGCCGAGAAAAATAATGCAGTTTTCTTACAATCCACCGAACAAGATGCCTCTATTTGCTCTTTGCTCTTTTCGCCATCACCTGGATTTATGGTGCGTAATTCAAGATTTTGATAACGTGTTGTTATTGTTGCCATATCTGTTTCGGCAACCAAATTCATCTCGCCGGCAGAAGTGGCGTAAAAGATTATTGTCGGCGAGAGATTCTTTATTTTATCAATTAAACCACGTATTAAACGGTTGGATGGCACATTTAACACTAACTTACATTCTGGAATAGTAGGCACGGCGAAGTGTGGCCAATCACAGCGTGGTATCACATCCACAGGTACGTGATGCATAGCGCGACGCGATTTATCTGAACTCTTAGTTGCCGCATCAATGTCAACTGTTAAACAAGGAAACTGTAAATTTGTAAGCTTCAATTTACAGTAAGAAGGATTGTTACGGAGTAAGGAAAGTGCAGTTCCCAAATTCAATGTCGGTATATTTAGCACAATATGTGGATCATTTTCACTGTCGACACCTTGCATTGCGTACTCAGCAAAATATTGCTTCGGATCAATTTCCACCCACACCAATGGCGCGGTACTACCGGATTCCTCATTGGCCACAAAGTAGACTTTGTCCATAGATATTTTCATTACACATGCTTTTGCCAATTTTGATAATGTTTGTATAATATAGAGAAATTCTCGCATGTACTCAGGATCCTGCATCATGGCACGAAATTTCATATTTCTTTTTTTACTTGCTAAATTATGTAGGCTTTTTTATGATCCATTCATATTTGAATATGTGTTTCATGATAAAGAATGAAAAGAAGAAAAACAAATTTCAAAGTTGTGTTGATGTCTCTCTATCTGTTTTACTTTTTGTATAGCAAATCTATCTTACTAATAACGTATGAATTAATGAAAATATATACTAAATAAACTGCTCTTAAAAATATTATATGTATATGAATTTATCACAAGGACAAATTCTAATTCAATTTATACTACTATAGTCATTATTTAGAATGAAAAAAAATACAGATTTTTTAAATCGAATAAGTAACGATGAAGTGGATGAATTAACATTGACTTGAGGGTATATTAACTTCATTTGAGTTTATAATGAATACAAGGGAACGTCCGAGACCCTATTAAAGAACAATTGCCAATAACGCTGACCAACCTTACATCAGTAAGTTTTACGTAAGCGAGGTGGGAATAATTTGCCATTTCTGTCAGTCTGTATATACACGAACTGTTCATTTAACGGAAACGCCGATAAATCATATAGAAAATAGCTGTCATACAAACTGAACGATCAAAATCCAGTCTACGTATATTAAAATTTTTTAATTGGCAATATACATACATACCTTCATAAAATTTAGCACGGATCATTGTCTAAGACAATACTTCAATTTCGGAATAAATTGTTGAAATAAAAAAAAAAAAGTTGAAATATTTTTATAACGTTGCTTCGGTGTAACAATTGAGAAATACAATAATACTTTGAATTTTATAATTAAATTAATATTATTTTTTTTACTTTTTTATTTTTTTAAAGCTATATAATTCCAATCCTACATTGATTGTACTGACATGAAAAATTTAGTGCAGAAAATAAGTTCTCGTTCTTATTTCCTAAAAGTCTGATATGTTGGCAAATATGTATTTCGTTTAAGAAACATATTCCCTCCATTTTGTGGTAGCTAAAATTAGTCGACAACATTTTGTATGCATAAATTTGTCAATAATAAATAAAAACAAATTTTTGAAGTGAAAAACAAAATTCTTTCATTCCAACATATTCGGTGCTTTGATATCAAATACACAAAAACAAAGCATTGGCACCATACTTTTCAATCCAAAAACTTGAACATTTTTAATTTCACACTTTTACTAGCACTGACGTAAACAATTATTATAATTAACAAATTTAACTTTTATTAAATATTGACAAAATATATTCACAAATGTGACCCATAAATACGAATTGCAGTTGAACCATGTCGATTATTGAGAAAACATTTTGGTCTCACAAAGAGCACCGACGAACTCAACCGAAAATGAAATAAAAAGCAAATGCGAACAAACACGAGCTGGCTGAACACTAAATACAACAGGCACATGGACTTGACACACATGGAGCCAAGACACGCCATTTGCGCTGGAGGTTTACGTTGCAGATCGTTATGAACACACGATAAAGAGCAAAATGGGGGCTGTTTGGTCGTTGCATACACCTTCTTCGATTTCTCAAATATGTTCGACTTTTATATTATCATACAAGAATTTCATATTGGTTCCTTCACATTTGTAGATGACATATCTAATATTTTACATACTTAAAAGTTGCATTTATTTGCAATAAATGTCAATTTAAGAGCTTAAATACGATTCTAAACACTGATGGATATATGTAAGCAACGAAAAATCAATACCGAAATAAAAATACACTGCATAAACCGAAATTTTTACAAAATGTATGTAAATGATGTGCTAAATAATACTATTCATAATTTTTGCTTTACGTTTTTTTTTAATACTGAATGTTTAGTACTTATCTGGTAAATTTCTCAAAAGTCGACATTTTGTCTACAAGTCTACCTAGCTACCCAACCGTGTTGCAATCATCATGACTACTACACCGTCTCATCTCAATGGTGAAATAGTATAACTTTTAAAAACTGAATATATATATGCATCAATATATCTTTCCATTTTACACTTAATTCTTTTGCACAAAACTTACCTGTTTCTTACTCGTTTTATGTATTTTTAAACAATTTTTGATTTAATTTTTTACTAAAAACCACACGTCTCATCGACAATATCAAAAATTGATTCCGACAATCACGGCCACCACAGTGTTGCCAAGTACCAACTATCAATTGTTAATTTTAAAGAAATTTAGAATGAAAACTTCTCAACTAGATGCCGCCCTCCATCTTGTACAAATTTATAGATTGAATTATAAGGTCTACTCACTTTCATGTTAATTTTCTATCTTATGTTAATCCTTCAAGGAAAATTAACTGAAACAAATGATGAATGAAATGCAGTATGAACATTGATAGGTTGATATTATGTACAAATAAATTTATATACACATAATGGGTTTGAAAAATATTTATTTACTATACCAACTAATAAATCCCCGAATTGAAAGCTCTTTAAGTTAAAATAAGTTTAAACTATTACTTTATTATATTAATACTAAATATTGTGGACTAAATCAAGCTAACTGAATTTTTAGCTGCCAGTTATTTTGTTTTCTTTAATTAAAGACAGTATATAAATTCCCGTAACAGTCGGGTCAACGTTATTGGAACGGATCCAAATATTTTATCCAGTCAAGGACTGTCAACTCAGCAGAATTTTGCCGTTACTTCAATAACAAAGTACTTAAGCGCCGAGTTGTGAGAAGGCGTTCCGAATTGCAAATATTTCTAAGTATGGCAAGGTTAATTCAATAAAGTTACGTTGAAGAATTATCGACTACCGGCTCTCAACTCTAGATATTTTTGGTTGAATATAAACATTGTAGTTGCTATTTATTAATTTTTTCTTTTTATAGAATTATACCAAAAATATTAATTGTCGTGTAGAAATCAACTGTGATTGGATTCAGAATTATTTGCAGTGCATTTATAACTTTTTAGGCTCGCCGCAAAATGTCTGAACGGAAAGTGTTGAATGTATGCCAGATTAATCAAATTATTTATACAATATTAATAATTAATGCATTTACAGAAATATTATCCTCCGGATTTTGATCCGTCAAAGATTCCTCGTATGAAATTGGCCAAAAACAGACAGTATACCGTTCGTTTAATGGCTCCATTTAACATGAGATGTAAGACATGTGGAGAATATATTTATAAGGGAAAAAAGTTCAATGCACGAAAGGAGGATGTTGAAAATGAAACATATTTAGGAATACGTATTTACCGTTTTTACATTAAGTGTACGCGTTGTCTACAGGAAATTTCCTTTAAAACCGATCCGAAAAACACCGATTATGAAATTGAGGCAGGCGCTACACGAAATTTCATGGCTCTAAAACTGGCCGAAGAACAAGCTCGTAGGCAAATAGGTAAGGTCAAATAAGTGTCTTTGAATTCTATTACAATTAAATCACATTTCTTAGAGGAAGAACGTGAGGAAGAGGCGAATAATCCAATGAAGTTGCTTGAAAACAGGACACAACAATCGCGCAATGAAATTGAAATGCTTGAATCTTTGGAAGAGTTACGGGACTTAAATCGACGTCAGCACAACGTGGATTACGAATCTATGCTACAACAATATAATAACGTGGAATCGGAGCAAGAAAGATTAATGCGCGAAGAAAAAGAAGATGACGAATTTGTGAAGTAAGCTTCTCTAATTCCTCGTATTTTATTACCCATAATTTAAATAATATTTTCTAAATAGGTCGATACATTTTAAAACAACTAAAAGCGGAAACAAAATTGTTGCGGAAGAAATTATTGAAGAAGTTAAGGATGAACCAATTTTACCAACAGATGTCAAGAAAGCCAAAACTGATCTACCAACAATGGCGGATGCCATCAAATTTAAATCTTCAACAACAAAGTGTGTACCGATCGTAAAACGTAAGGCTCCACTTGTCATCCTTAAATCAAACCCCACCGCAGCAACTACTCTTTTAACAACAAAGGAAAATACGAATATTCCTCCTTCAATAACAGAAACTACGGTTAAACAGGCTGCTATAGTATCATCGATGGCAACAACATCAGATAGTCAAAAACCCGCTGAAGCTAAGAATGGCGGGCTCTCATTACTGTCAAATTATCTAAGTAGTTCTGAAGAATCAGAATGAGTAGTACATATGCATATATATTTATATATGCAAACCTGATTCCGTAAGGGATTTTTTATACACATGATCGACACTAACTGCATTTGAAATACATAAGGGTCTACCGCCATGCACGTCTGCTTTTATATGATATATTGTAAATAAGTAAGTGGAATGTATATGTAAAATTAAAACTGACAAAGCCATACAGTTGAGAACTTCGGCATAAGGATTTCACAAAGCATAGGCAAACAAATAAATAAAGTCACTATAAAAAATATAAAAATCTCGTTCACCGCTTCATACCAGCTAAATGTGCCAGGCAACAAAGAAGAAACGCTAACTAAATAAAAATGTTTATATATTACAAAGTAGGTGATTTATTCATTTTATATAAATCTTAGTAGTTTTAATTTTTAACAAATTTTTGTTAATAACTCAAAGGCACCTGTGCCATTTCGTACCGGTAAACCAACCATCAATCGACTTGACGGTGAACTCAGCTCATCAGCACGTCCACTGCCAGCAGCATTTTTCAAAAACTGCAAACATGATTCGAATGACATCTGTTGCAATGGTGAGGATGAGTGTTCCATGCCTTTACGGGAAAGTGGTTGGAAGCTACCATCAAACGTCATATAATCGGCAATTAATGAGAGATGTCGTCTATCCACAGCGATACCATACACTTTGAAAACATTCGTCACCTCTTTAATTATGACCTGCGCCGCCGCTTCAATGCCATAGGTCCTGGCAATAGCGTGTATATCGTTGGAGTAAAGACGATTTAATTCTAAAATATCATTGTACTTGAACATTTCAACAATATTAATGCCGTCGGTTTTTAATAATTGCGCATTATTGTCGCCCTTATAAATGATAGCACGCTTAATATTTTGCACTTGATGTACAACGCATTTACCAGCCAATTCTCGAATAATAGATGATATATCAGGCCTTTTGTATTTCATGTTAAGCTGAAATTTTCATGAGAATAATTACATATATGTATCTTAAGTACGGTTGTTGTAGTGTATTTACATACATTAAACGTAAGTTTGCACCACTGATGAAGCTCCTTGTCGTATGAATATTCTTGGACCATCTCATTACTGAGAACTTTTTCCACCATAGCATCGCCTGCGTCGGATTTCCCTACGTCCTCGTTAACTTCATCATCGTTTTCTGCGTCTCCCATATCTTCCTCATCATCAGCATCTTTAATTTCCTCCAAAACTTCGGGATCGTCATACTCGGTTTCATCTTGCTTCCGCGTTTTGAATTTACGACCAGTCGCGTCGTCATCGTCATTCTGGAAAATATACGCCATATATGCTAATGTACATCATTCGGTTATTTATTGTAAGTTTAATATTACAGCTTGTTCATCATCCGACGAATCTATATCGATGACGTTTGTTGATTTCCCTCTTTTGGATTGGCCACCCATTTCATTTCTAGATTCATCTTCATCCAAATTTTTATCGTCGTCATCTTTATCTTCATTTATATCAATGCTAAAAATATATATGCATTTTAATGCATTTTATATACTATATGTAAACGATATAAGAGCAACTTACACAGAAGATTTGCTCTTTGAAGACTTTATAACGGCACGGAACAATAGCTTAAAGAACACCTCACTCATATATTTTAGCACCTTTTTTGGTCGCACGCAGAAATCGTTCTGGTAAGCTTCGCGGGGCAGGAATTGGAAGCGTAGCTTGTATTGATATGCGCGTTCAGGCTTAAGAACCAGTTTAGTTTTCACATTAACAACTGAAATACATATATATTTGTTTATTTTATCTCGTTTTTTTTTATATGCTAAACTTACATTGCAATATATCCGCTAGAGTAACGCGATTCAGCTTGATACGCAACTTATTGGCGCCTTTAACCTCACACGGTTTTATTGGTATATCCATCGAAGGGGTTTTTATATTTGAAGAAGCTAACATGAGAATTTCACGCAGACGCGGTATACCGAGCGTAACGTTCATTTCACCGCGACCGGCGAAATGGAAAGTGTTCAATGTCATCTGCGTCGAAGGTTCACCAATCGACTGAGCGGCTAATAAGCCGACTGGCTCGCCCGGCGACACCAATGCCTTTATGTTCTTCAAGTATATTATGTCGTCAATTGCCGCTTTACTATTTGGATACTTTCTCATATATTCATCGACGATTTTTTCTAGTCGCTCAGAAACACTGCCGTAGCAGTTGTCCTGTCTGTAAAGAGATGTTGTGGGATCGGGACAACGAGCGCTTGACTTTTCATATTGCTCTTTCGTTTCGACATCAGCTTTACGCCAAAGCTTTCGTTTGTATTCATAATCCATGCTGCGTCCGTTTTTGGGATTCAGCTCAAGTGCATTCGCTTTGGTTGGTGCATCGGCTGAGAAATCAGTGAATGCCGACTGTATTCTTTTCGTTTCGTGCGTTATATTTTTATCTTCACGTTTATTTTGCCATTTTCGTATTTTTTTTACATGTCGTGCGATTTTCATGAGTGTCTGTTCGTCTTTGATATTTTTCAGCTCTTTTGAGTGAATGATTGCTGTGTAATTGAGTGCCAAAAACTGCATGCAGAAATTAGTATTGAAAAACTTTGATTTAAGTATGTCTAATCCATCTTCGCCATATAAATATTGTACAACGCTGTTGTCGCTATCGCGCACCGTCATGTCATAGCCAACACTGAGACCTTCCAGATGTTTGATCAGACAACGTTGCAGGTAACCCGAACGCGATGTTTTCACAGCAGTATCAATAAGACCTTCACGACCCGCCATGCAATGGAAGAAGAAATCTTGTGGTTGTATGCCGGTCATGAAGCGGCCGTCAATGAAACCACCCGATTTCGGTGAAGTCTCAAAGGTTGTGAAACTCGGCAATGACTTGCCAGATATCATGAGTGGCGGACGTTTGCCCTCTAATTCAATTTGCCCCAATAAGCATGAGATTTGCATAGTGTTGACCATAGATCCCTTTGCGCCGGAGAGAACCATTAATTGTAAATTGTTTTGTGGAAATTTGGATATGAGTCCACCGGGTAAGCAAGTACGATTTATATCGTTGGTGTAACCGTCGAGCAACGATTTGTATTTGCGATCTAAGATAACACGGAATTTGGGGTCTTTCGCATAGGCCTCTTCCATTTTTTCAACAAGCACATCAAGCGACGGTATCTCATCCAACTCCAATGCAGCAGCAACTGCGGCGTCACCAACCTGCAATTATTACAAAAAGGATAATACTATTGTTTACTCCTTCAAGGCACAATACACTTACTTTGCGTGATTCTTTAACTATTTTACGCCTTTGTGTGTCAGCCTCGGCTGTAACTAAGATATCCTGCACACCCAGCGTAAATCCCTCTCGTTGCAAAAATGAAGTAAACAATTTCGTGAAAGCCGTCAACAAGCAGGTGGAGACCTCACCGCCGTACAACTGCAAAAATGGTAGAGTTCAATAGATTTAATACATGGAGCTAGACCTATAGCAGTCACACCTACTTCATACATGCAATGAATTAAACCGTAAGTAGTGGCGCCGTACTGTTGTTTATCGAGTACACCGGTAAGCAGTTCGCCTTTATGAATTACAACATTGCTTTCACATAAATCGCTGCCGCCCACGGGCGCACAGGCAGCTTCGTGTGCTGATGCTACGATCCATTGCTTATAAAAATAATAATAATTAGATTGTATGTGACGCTGATGAATCTTTTTTGCTTACTTTTGAGTTGATTTTAGCTTGTGTATGTAGATTGATGCGTGAGTAGCCTTCGGGTATCAAGTTGATAATTATTGTAGAAAGTACCTAAGTAAACAAAATATTTGACAAAAATTAGATCATTCATGATTTTATTACTTGTTGTTGTACCAGCTATAGCATTGCTTTTTTAAACCGTTCCAGTCTTAACAACAAACAATCAACTCACCTGTTTTCCAGACCAAAGTATCGTTGGTTTCAGGATGGTCGGTGGTAGCAATTTAATTTTGCCGCGTAAATTTGAGAGACCTTGGTACACCAGCTGCTGATAGTCTTCCCTATTGAAAAAACGTCCGCGAATTGACAATTTTACGCCAGATATAACATGATCCTGAATTAAGCCGCCCAAAGGTGTGCCGTCTTTAGGCACCAAATAGTTACTTGCAACATTGACTGCAATAGAAATTTATTTTTAGAATAGGTTAGGAGTTACAAATCTCAATAATGTGGATTTAATAGTTTTCGCTCCCATTACCCAAATTATAAGCTTCTGCCCGCGCTACTTCGCTTTGTGGGAAATGGGCATTCATTTCATCGCCATCGAAATCAGCGTTATACGCTTTGCAGTTGGAATAGTGCAGCCGGAATGTCTTTTCGCCGGGCAAAATGCGAGCCTTGTGTGCCATTATTGATGGTCGATGAAGTGATGGCTGTCGATTGAGAAGGAGTACGTCACCATTGAGAACGTGACGGTGCACTACTTTAATACCATTTTCAGGATAGTTGAATAGTAGTTTTGCCATGCTCTCACGCTTTGCTGCATTATCTGCTGGTATGAGCGTTGTGTAGCCTTTCTCATCTTGTATATAATTTGCGCTGATAAAAAAATTATGAATTCATTGATGACGAATAGAAGTATTAAACATATTCGCTTACCCAGGGTGTATGTCGGGACCGTTCATAACCATTTTCCGCAGTTCGGCGACATTCCACGGTGTTACTGGCACGGGGTAGCTTAACTTGCGTGCAAAAATATCTGGTATACCGACTTCTTCAACGTTTATATTTGGGTCGGGCGTAATAACAGTACGGGCCGCATAGTTAACGCGCTTACCCATCATATGTTTCCGTATTAAGCCCTCTTTTTTCTCTAAAACCTGTTTAAGTCCTTGATTCGATGGCGAATCTCTGCTAGCTGTTATGTCCAATAACAAATCTACCGATGTTTGTAGCGTTTGCCAAGCATTGTACAATTTTTCATATGGGGATTTACCTCTTGAAGTTTCGTATACACGTTGTGCCTCTTCGGTAAGTTCTTCTCTCAGCCCTTTAAGATGCTTCAGGACCACACGTAGTACGGAATTATTTTCAATTATAGCTCTATAAATTCCAGTTTGTGGATGTTCCACAATCTGATCATGTAATATATTGGGTGGACGCGCTTTGGGCGGTATTACTGGTATAGTGTCCATGAAAAAAATATCAACGGGCGATTCATTTCCACTTGCATTTAGTTTAAGTAGAGGAAACAATAGTTTTAACAAATCCGGGTAATTGTCATATATTTGTCTCAGAAACTTTCGGCATTCATCAGCGAAAATTGATTTATTTTGACCCATAGTTTGTTGTGTTTCGGGCATACTAAGTAGAAATTTTTAAACATAACATTATATGATTATATTAAAAATATAAAAAATATCGCTTACGAATTTTTCATTTCCGCTGCTGTGATGTAGTAAACTAGTTTTCGGTACAAATAACGAATGTTTCGCAAGGGTTTTTCGCAATGTATACATTTCTTAAAAGGCACACGTTGAAGAGCAGCATGAACCAGAGCCGAACGTATTGCACATGATGTTTTTGTATTGTTACACGCGTTAGACTCTCCTATGATTTAAAGACATAAATATATGTATAAAATACATTTATATTATGAACATAAAATTATATATAGTTATACCTTTCTTTAACAGCTCAAACATTGCCGCTATCCGAGGATGTACGTAATTTCCATCTTCAGTTTTCACCAAACGCTCTTCATTTTGACACACTATCTCCGATTTAAATATTTCAAGTTCTTGTGCTTCAACAATATACCCTGCATCTATGAGGCGTAATTGTAAAGTCAGCACGTTACAAACATGATCTGAAAAAAAAAATTCAATTTGTAGATTTTGAAATTGCTTGTTAATAAATATACACACATACCTTTCAGTTGTATCTTGAAACAGTTCAAGCAAAAAATACTTAACATTTTCTGTACTAGTTTAATAAAAAAGGGATTAAACACAAGTGCGTTTAATTCAATATGACCCATATGGCCAGGACATGCCTGCATGTTATAACATGTAGCACATGGTTCCATTCGTCGACCATATGTACCCATTAAGTTGTCATACAACCCTCCGGGCAAAGGATGACCAAGAGGATCAAATGTTAAACCAGTAATAATTTTAACAACACTCAGCTTCTTTATTTCTTCATTGGAGAAAACTCCGAATTCCAAATCCTCCGGAATTAAATCGACTTCTAATTTTTTTGCGGTACCCATCTTTCAAATTTCTTAATTCAAATTGAAAATTAAGAAACTTAACTTTTGCTAAAACATCTATGAAAAGAACGTGTTTTGAAATAAATTTTGACAGATAGAGCAGCATGCCGGAGACCGTATATTATAAACAGAAAACGTTCTCTGCGCATGCAACCAATGAAGCCTTAAGGTGCATATAGAAGTTGCAAAGTTTATGGTTTTGTTGTTAACTCGTAATTAGCAGTTATAAAGAGGTGTATTATTTTTAATAGTATCCCAAGAGTTCCAAAAAAAAAAAAAAATTTTGTTTATATTCATGCTGCTTCATACTACTAGATAGATTTTTGCATTTTGGAACTACGTATTAATGTAATATGGTAGCTTAAAAAGTCAGCTGTCAACAAGATCTAACCTACAATTTGCAAGTTTCCTTTTTATAATAAGCCAGCCAGCCAGCTGTATAGAAATAAACAATTTATAAAATGCCACCAAAAAAGGATGCAAAGGGCGGCAAGGATAACAAATCATCTGGAAGCAAGAAAGGCACTGCCGCAACCGCTGATGATAAAGGTAGTACATTATATTTCACTTATTTGCTAGTTATAATTTAACGTTGCAAAGGTAAGGAAAAGAAAGGCGGAAATGCAGTAAAAGTGCGGCATATTCTCTGTGAAAAACAAGGAAAAATATTGGAGGCTTTGGAAAAACTAAAAGCTGGTCAAAAATTCCCAGAAGTGGCTGCTGCTTACAGTGAAGATAAGGCGCGACAAGGTGGCGACTTAGGTTGGCAAATTCGTGGTGCCATGGTGGGACCTTTTCAAGATGCGGCTTTTGCTTTGCCCATATCGAATGTAAACAACCCGGTGTATACCGATCCCCCCATAAAGACGAAATTCGGCTACCACATTATTATGGTGGAGGGAAAAAAATAAACGGATATTTATGCTGTAAGCTTGTATAGATTTTGTAATAAAAAAAAAACTCAATATGCAATATGTTATCATCTTTTTTTTGGAGCATCACGACTTTATTGAAGAGTTTTTAAGTTAAATTATCATTTCTTGCCAGCATCTTCCTTCAATCCCACTGTGCGATTAAACACAATATGGTCTTTCGTAGTATCAGGATCTACTGAAAAGAATCCAATTCGTTCAAATTGAAATTTGTCGTACACCTTTACGCTGGACAATGCGCGATCAGCATATGCTTCCAAAACGGTCAAGGAATTTTGATTTATATCGGAAAGGAACCCACCAGGTACTTCATTTGTGTCTTCTGGATTTTTATGCTTAAAGAGGAGTTCGTAAATCCTTACTTCTAATTTGATTGGCTGAGAAACCCATTGTATAAATGCCTTCGGTTTTTCTGCCTTCTCGGCCTGTATGCAATCGCAAGTAAGTTCAAGTACGGCTCCAGTTTGCGGATCACGGTTCACCTCTTTAACCGATATAACCAAACCGCCGTGCCTCAGCCCAACAGTTTGATTTAAAGATAGGCGGCGATATCCCTTTTCAGGCTCCTCTTTGAAATCACTTCTTTCTATATAAATTACACGGTCTAATACAATCCGATGACTACCTAACTCGGGGTTTTGCGGAAAGTTAGGTACATCTATTTCTACGGACTGTTCATATGGGAAATTGGCGAGAGTTATTTTAAGTGGCTCCAGAACCACAAGTCTTCGCGGCGCAGTTATATTAAGTACATCTCGCACTGACGCCTCCAGCATACTAGGATCTACCGACATCTGAGCGCCTGTGACGCCCATTTGAGCACAAAAGTTATTGATCGCTTCCGAGGGACAGCCACGACGACGTAATGCAGTTAGCGTGAACAACCGTGGATCATCCCAATCATTGACGATACGTTCGGTGATGAGCTTAGCTATTTTGCGTTTCGATACAAGAGCGTAGTTCATGTTCAGTCGACCGTACTCCCATTGAACTGGGCAATATATTTCCAGAGCATTACAAAGCCAATAATAAGAAGAACGTCTTGATTGGAACTCCTTGGTACAAAGTGAATGAGTAATGTTTTCGATGGAATCACATAGGCAGTGAGTGTAGTCATATGTAGGATAAATGCACCTATGAGATCAATGAAAGAAATTACACTATCGTTAACATATTAGTTCGAAAGTTAATATACTCACCAGTCATTTCCGGTACGGTGATGAGGTATAAATTTAATGCGGTAAGCAACTGGATCCATTTTACCCTCTTCTAAAGTTAGCTTTAGACGTAGTGTTGCTGCACCTTCATCAATTTTTCCGTTTTTCATATCCTCGAACAACTGCAATGACTCTTCAATAGGACGTTCACGCCATGGACTAGGTTTTGGGTTAAATCCCTTCATTTCATCGGCTGTCTGGTGACACACATACGCTAATCCTTTGCGTATAAGTACTAAAGCCCAGTCGTACAGCTGTTGGAAGTTGTCTGAAGAGTGTGTTACTTTGTAAGGCTTATAGCCCAACCACTCGACCATGTCGCGTATGCCGACAAAGAATTTCTCTTCTTCTTTCTCAGGGTTTGTATCATCATAACGTAGGTAGCAAATGCCACCTTTCGAAGCTGCATAACCAAAATTGATGTTAATAGCCTTTGCGTGGCCAATATGAAGAATACCGTTGGGTTCAGGCGGAAAACGAGTTTGTACCCGACCACCTGTCTGTTTGAGGTGTTCCTTCAATAAGCGTTCAGTATGCTCTGTTACCACATAACCATCAGTTTTATAATTTTCCCCGGGTGCATGCAAATGTACTTTTGTCTTCATTAGTTCAGCGATAGTAGAAGCACCATCACTGCTTTCCAAATTATCATTGGCCGAATTCGATGCCGATTCATTGCTAGCCTTCGTCACTGTAGCCGTTTTTGTTTTTTCTTTCTTCTTTTCAGGTTTTGGTGGTGGTTTCAAATCTTCCTCAGTCTTTGGACCAAGTAAATCGAATATCTCAACGTCAATGGCGGATTTGACAGATTTCGCATCAGCCCATTTGAGCTGGGCACGCACTTCTTGCATAATTTTAAATGCATTGAAGTGATAACGCTGCTCCAGGAGGACATCCTTGTGCAATTTTATTTGTTCTTGCACTATACGCTCGATCTCTTCCGGAGTGACAACCACACCTACTCCACAAAATTCATCAAACTCTTTTAGATTAACAGAAGCTCCTTTCTTTTGAACATTTTTCAATAAATATTCAAGTGCTGCCTCCACTCTCAAAGTCGTATCTAATTTGCGGTCAACAATGTATCGAGTTACTAATGGCAATTCATGAGCGTTTTGCGGCTTGATTTTACTAGCCATGTGATAAAGCAACATGCCAACACCTTCACCGAGTAGAGCACCCTTCACCTCAGCTAGTGCCAGTTGCAAATTTTTCGTCACATTCGCATTCTTTAGCGTTTCTTTGGCCTTTTGCTCGCTCATGCCCAGCAACTGGAATTGTGTTAGCAATTCTTGGTCCGTCATCTTTCTTTTTCTGCATAACAACAACGTGGTGTTAATTTACTTGTGTGTAAAGTTATTTAGAGACCTAATTACCTATAATGTTGATTAATATTTGTGAAATTATAAATATTGGTACTCCAGCAATTGAATAAGGCAATGTGGCAAATGTCAAAATTTAAAATGCAGCTGATGCAATTCAACCATCAAAAATGTCTCAATTTTATATGAAGAAAAACTCTAATAAGAATTTACGAACGATGTGCAAATCATACATATAACTGTTTATGAATTATTCAAAGACAAATAAAACTTTAAATATTAATTATTACAGTTTAAATTTTTTGGAATTCTACATAGCTTTTTTTATTATTTCAGAGAAATGGGTGGCAGTATCACTACGACCAGCTGTTTATATTCTATGGCGGTTTTTATGAAAGCAATTGTCATACGTGCGAAATTTTAATCTTGGATGTAAATCGAGTTTATCGTGATTTAAAAAATATAAATTTCAAATTAATAAATTTTATAAAATGGCTACAATAAGTCGCCCACCTATGAATAGAATTCCCGCCGCTGCACCCACTATTAAACAAGATAATGCTGTTAGAGATTTAACGAAACTTTCTCGTTTGGAATTGTTAGATCTCAAGGAGCGACAAAGCAAGTTACTGGCAAACAAGTAAGTACAAAAATTATGTGCATACGCTGAGAGATAAGAATTTACCATTTATACAGAGCCAACTTAAAACGGCTGCCAGATAAAGGAAAACGCATAGAAGATTTCTATAACAAAGTAATAGAAGAGCTTGATCGACGAAATAATATTGATGAAGCGGCAAATATATTCTCAGAATTAAATATTGTTTCTAAAGGCGAAGATGTACTCAATCGTCTGGAGTGGGACGGCCACTTAAATGGTGAACAAAATAGTGATCCAACAGACGATATACTTGATAGCGATGACGAAGCAGAGTTAGATCCATTACGCGTGATTGCCCAATGCACAATGCACGAACGACGAACAAAAATTTTACCACCCGAGCCTAAGTTAATAACAGAAGATGATTTAGCTGAGATCGAGTCTTTTAGAGCAGAGTCTGAGAATTTAATATCAACATGTTCGACACATTCAACAGATTCAACACCGACAGAAGAAAGCGAAACGGATAATGTCGTGGATGTCCAGGTTGTTGAAATAGATGTCGGCGAAAAGTTAACAAATATAAAATCCAAGATACAGCACTTCACTGAAAAACCTACATCATCTAAAGTAAGCTTAATTAGTGAAGATAGTCGCAGTAGTACGCCAGCACTAACGGAGGTAGAGGAACATGTACGTTACCTTGTGGCGAAAACTGAGTTGCAAGTAGCGCCACAACGCGAAAAGTTCAAACCTTACAAAACCACTGTATCAGATGTACACGATCCCGCAAAGGAGCGCCTACGAAAAAAAGGCAAACATTGGGAAGTTACTGCTGCAACACCACCACTTATTCAACACAGTGGCGCAAAGATGTTGACATTACTCGATTCGGTGGAGTTACAAACCGATTATTTGGCAAAATTAAAAGTACGTATAGTTATGACTTCTATTATGACCACGTTATGAAACCACATCTCGTCGTCTATAGTCTTTGCAAGAAAAACAAGCCGAGGAGCGTTTGGCTGCACGTATAGCGCGTCTTGAACAACGTAACCTGAAACTGCCTACAGAAGAAGAGCTGAAATCTAAAACTGCCTTCACTACATATCGCACACCATCGGTACATATAGAAGGTGAACAAAAGATCAACGAAGACGATGAGGTACATGATCCACTGGATGAGGAAAAGTCTGGTGGCAGTGTTACATATACGATCTACAATTAGTTGCCACACTATAAATAACAACAGCATCTATATTATTTGAACGTTAATTTATTAAATGTTTCTTTGTAAACGAACTTTCTATGTTCGATATTCAACAACACAACTATGTATGTATGTAGACAGTCAGTAGTTAAACCATATAACATTTAAGATTTCGCTTAAGTTATTGTTAAGACTTTAAGGTGCAGCTTTTAAGCAAACACAATTAATTTTTTCTACTTAAATATGTATGTAATGTTGAAAGCTGTGCTCTGGTCTCAATAAACCACACAATACTATAGAATTTCTTATATTACACATAGTTGCATATATTTTAAATGGAATAAAATTGTGTTGCTGTCGAGGCTTGCAGCTCGATTTGACCCATTTTAAATTGTAGTCGCTGCAGCCATTTCAGTAATGCGTCTGAAGGGTGTGTTTGCTGCTCCTCAAAGTCGGGCGCATTGTCGCGTACATTTTGCAAACGTACATGGAGCGTTTTAGATAGCTGTAAATTAAAGATTCGTGTGATACATCAAAAAAATATAAAATTAAAATTAAAAAATAAAAAAAAAAAAATAAAAAAATTATGATTAAACAAATTATAATTTAAAAAATTGTAATTTAAACAAAATAAATTTCTGTATAAACCAAAATTGCTCACCTGTGTTTGTGAGGACAAGACTGGACTCCACAGCGGCAAAAGTTTGCCTAAAATTGTCGAATTAGTCTCCTTAAGTGCTTCGAGAAGACTAAGAAAATGAAGATTCACCATTTCGGAGAGCTGAAAGTATTATTGTTTTATTGTTTGGTTTGTTTATGAAAAAACGTTTATTGCACAATACACGGAAAGTTAAATAATAGTATATTAAAAGACAAAAAATAATAATTTTTTATAAAAGAAAATTTAAGAAAAGGTTAATGGAATGTACAAAATATATTTCTAAATTGTATATTTGTAAGAAATGTTTCTAGAATCAAAGAAATAGATAAATTATATAGGGTTAACTCACCTTCGCATTGGGACTCTGTGTAATAAATAAAAAAGTAATATGAGTGTAATTTATATTATAAAATTTGGGGATATTAGCGTGCAAGTTAAATTAAAAGAAATTAAGATAAAAACAATGTAAACGTTGACTTCGGTGCCACCGAAGCTAGTTTGCCAGTTTGTATGGCAGCTACACTAAAGTAGTCCAATATCAGCGGTTAAGACAAATATGCATCCTCTTGGGAAGAAAAGGTCGTAGTTAAAATTGTAGATCAATATCGCAAAAACTGAGGGACTAGTTCGTTTAATATAGGCGTGGCTAAATCGACCCAGCTCGTCACACTGATGGCGATGTGTGTGAGGCTTGTGTCGTCGGTGTTGTTAGCACTTCCTGTGAGCCTGCGTATGACGATAGTCGTTTATGTGGTTTGGCAGAAACGTGGCAAAAAATTCCGCGGGCCGGGTTCGGATCAAGCTTTGACAAGCTCAACTTACTACTTACCGATCCAAACTGAGTTTGATACTCGAAATAATAGCCCTTGGGCGGATTAGTTCTGAACAAATTCGGTAAGGTAGAGACAGATGTTATGAAAACTACATACCATACAGATATACATACATATGCCCTGCGTGCACGGAACCTCCGACGTAACTTTCTCTTTGCATGCCTTATGAAAGGTACTCATCTAACACCCCTCTCTGTGTAGTCTAACCCCTTCGAAACAGAATGTGTGCGGAGCCTTTCGTTGATGATCTTAATGTCCATTAATTTGCGCCTTGACCTAAAGAGCGTCTTGATAACCTCAACAACAACAGACGAAGAGTTTGAGATTTCTCTTGAACCCCGACCACAGTTGTTGTCTGAATATTGGGGCAGGTTAAACTCCTTTGCTTGCTATGAGTTCCCACTGACAACTTCTTCACAAAATCCCTCAAACTTAGACTTATAACATTGCTTTCCGTGCGATAGAGCCCAGTAAAAAAAAAAACTTTCCTATTAGCATTGCTGGAATATTTGTCAAATTAAGAACAACCGCCAAAACGGTTGACTATTCCTTAAATACCTATAAAGCACATGGTGTTGACATTATTAAAGATATATTTTAACTCACTTTTGCATTTGGGTTCTGCGTGAAATCGGCTATGCCTGCACCTCCGACGCCACTACCAGAACTCTCTTTTGGTGGACGAGCATGCGAAACCAATTGCAAAATACACGGTGTCACTTTGGCCCAAAACTCGAAGAGCACACCCATGGTGTTGCCTTCTGCATTGTTAGACGAGCGAGCCACATGCTCTAAATACACAGTCCATAGTTGACACAGGGTGAAGGCGTGAAAGAGGGATGACATATGCAATACCGACGTCTTCGACTGCTCGGCGAAACCGGCAAAAATCACCTGGATGTGATCCGCAATGTGACAAGATGACTCTTGTGAGACCGGCATTGCAAATGGCGCCATGCCACTGGGCTGTTGATGATGGTGCTGGTAATGCACTGCTGCCGGTGGTACGGTTGGTGGCACCTGCTGTAGTGGTATGGGTATGGCGTGACGCTCATTGCGGCGCTGTGTTAGCGCCAGGTGTGTAAGTGAGCCGAGCAACAACCAAGAGAGTAGACGCATGTGGCCAACGCATTCCGTAAATTCTTTGGGACTGTGGAACGGGAGTGAACAGCTAGCTAACACTTGCATGACGACGAGAATCTTTACTAGGACTCACCCTTGCTGCAGCGATGATGGTGCATTATTCAACCAGGGCAAGTAACGAGAACTACTTTTATTGTCACGTGTGTTGCCACGTGACATTTCCAGCGCCAAGTATTGTGCCACAGCTCCCTTCAAAACGCCACCCAGCGTGTCTTCGCCCAGTCCATTTTGTATCTGTCCATTTTTGAAGTTCTTATGGGTATGAGAGTTTATGAGTTGGCGGAATGAAACATATGTATGTATATGTATGTAAGTAGGACTCACCTTGATTTTACTCAGTGTGTGAAAGTCGGCTAGGAAATCTATAACATCGTTGACATACTGACGCATACAATCCGCGGCATTGGTAGTTAAGGGTGGCGGGGCCTGCGGAAAACCAACTAGAGTGCCCGGTGGCAGCGTGCCACCAGCATCATGCAGCACAAAGCCGATGATCATCAACAAGTTGTTATCTGGTATGTTAGTTTTAAACTTCAATGCCTGCACGAACTCGAAAATCAGCTGACGACAGAGCAGCATCTTATCGCGATCTTTGGAAAACGAGCGCATATTGAGTGTGCACAGTTCATACAAAGAGTGGTATTCTAAATTCGTATTCTGCACACAAAATCCAATTATCTTGGAGTAGGGATCAAGTAGGGTTTTTGGCACAATGCTCAGCTTCAAAGTGGCTACCATTATGCCGAGCAGATGTTCGGGATTGGCCAGATTTGGTAGCAACACAATCACTTGACGCAATAGTGATTCCATAGCTTGCATCGCTTGCTGCCAAACGCCTGGACCGGTGGTCAGTTCCGTTGGCACGCAATGCAAATACTCGGCCATGTTCCGAAAAATCACGGGCAACTGCTCGACTGGTAGCGATTTCTTCGACTGCAGAGATTCGCAGACCATATAAATGGGATGTGTGGCGTTGAGCTCCTGAAAGTCCTGCAGAGCTCGTGCAATGCTGCGGAACGAGTTGTGGCGCACTTTCACTTTGTGAAGATTATTATTAATTATAAGCATCTGTAAGTAATAGTATGTATCACTCTTACTCTTCACTTGAGTTTGAAAAACTTGCACAAATATGCCGTTGGGTGCCAGCTGATGCAGAACACAGCGTATGAATTGCAGTGACACAGCCTGAGCGCTGCAGACCAATGCTGGTCCATTCTCGCCCTGCCAGGAGTGCGTAGATGTCAAGCAGATTCTAGCAAAGAATTTTCGTGATTCTTATAAATTTGTTCTTCGCAAATTATTTACTAACCTTGAGGTTATGGTTAGTATTTCAGGTAGAAATGGTGCTGCCATTGCCGGTTCGCGATGAATGAAAGTTCCTAATATGACAATCAATATGCCAATATCCTCGTCGGTATACTCTTCGATGAGTGCGCCACAATCGGTGCAACGGTCACAAATCGTATAATCGCCAACGCGTCTGGTACTCTAAGAAAGAAGGTAGTCAATAGTTACAAGAACGAAAGAAGTACAGTTTGACGAAAGTATGGTCATGCGAACATGGATCAGAACTAAGAGATAAAAATTATAACTACACATTGTCTTATCAAAAGACCGAAGCAATATCAATATCATTATTTTATGGAGTAACTCCACGTCGTTCTCGAAATAGAAGTTTGATTCTTAGTGCTTATTAGCAGAAAATCTTGTGAGCTCTTAGAATAAGTTAATAGAAGCATTGTCGATTTCAAACGCACACTTACCACCCTATTTGGCTGCGCTGCTGCGCCACTATGACCATTGCCATTTTCAATGCCATCGTCCATATCATCGTCCAGCTCTTCAGGGGGTTGATATGGTGGCGGTGGCCATGCACCAGCGAAGCGTGAACGTATGTCCGGCATGGCACTAGTGTCCATATTGAAGGGAGCCAATTTCTGACGCGGACGTTTAGGGGCTTCGGGTTTATTTGCGGTATACACACCACTTGTGCTTGCAGTAACCGTAGCGCTGGTTGTTGTCTTCACCTCTTGAGTGACGCTTTTTAATATGGAAGAATGCAGATCCTGTTGACCGGCGGCGCTTGCATTTGGTGGCGATTCCAGTGCTACTTGCTTGATGAGACGACGTGGTGATGTAGTACGACTACTGGGTGTTATGTCATCTTTAGTGCTATCCGATACATCGAGGCTATCTTGTTTCAAATGGCTTATGTCCGGTAAGTTAAGACCGTCGCGCAAACGGTCAATTAAACCACTGACCGACTCATGCGTACCAATAGGCAGTAAACGTTCTGGCGTGGGTATTTCCAGTGCTGCTATACTTTTTGGTGCCGGTAACTTTGTGGTATCCACCTCATCGACTGGGTTCGGCATGACGCTCATCTTGGAGAGCGGAGAATCGGGTGAGCCGTATGCTTTGTCCGAACGTTTTAACGATTTTCCGGCTGGTTTCTTGTGGTTGGCGCTCAGTCGTGAGTCATCCGTGCCGGTCGATGAGGACGAAGTGCCAGCACTGCATTCGACAATAGTCTTGTGTCGCCCAATAGGCTTTTTTGAAGAAGCAGGCGGATGCTGTGGTGGCTGTTGCTGCTGATTTTGTACGTGCTGAGAAGTGACTGGTGGTAATTGTTGTGGACACTTGCCTGAGTTTTCAGTGCTGCTATTCGTTGAGCGATTGCCATTACTGGATGTCAGTGATTTAGAGTTACTATCGCTAGATTTGGCTTGTATATCTTGTAGGGCGCCCAATGCTTTAAGATGGTTCGTAGCAATTGCAGCAAACATCTTCGATGTCGAAGCGGCAGCGTTCTCTAACGATTTATTTCGGACTGTGATAGCGCGGTGCACATCAACTGGGGGACTTACAATGGCGGTCTCGGCTGCCGCATCAGTGCCAACAAGGGGGGTAACAATCATACGTACACCTTCTTGAAGACTATGACGGGCTTGTGTAGTAACAACAGTGGTACTAACAGCTTCCTGACCGCCGGTAGTTCTAATTTTCGTAGTATAGGTGTCTCCAGTTTTGGTAGTAATCAACGACTTATGTTGTGTCCTCGATGTTTTCTAATGGAATTGAAAAGAATATATACTTTAACAAGTAAAGTCATACATAGTTTGTTCAGTTTATTTTAAATACTTTATTTTACTTCAGCGAAAATTATACTAAAATCATCTTCAAATGTTATATTAAGTAAATGGGTGATATTAGCACAACCGATGAAGGTAAATTTAATATATTCGGTTGTTGTGAAAAACATCAACTCCTGAATATCAGTTGGAATGGGGCTTAGACAGGTTTTCGTGCGATTTTTTATTTTTAAGTACAAAGAGTACTTTTACACTTTTATTAGAAAAATATGCTCTCTCAATTCCATCAAAATAACTTCCACATTGGCCGATATATGTACGTGGTATAAAGTGGAAGTTCGAAAATTTTTATTTTAGATATATGGGGGTTAAATGAAGTACTGACCCGATGGAACTCAATTTTGACATACTGGTATAATATTTTCAAAGAAACACTTTCTCCGGATTTTAAAATATATCTCACAGATTTACCGATAATTGTGGCAAAAAGTCAGCCATTCGTCCAAACATTCGATATGTGAGGATTCGAACAGTTATGATTCTATTTGTACAAAGTTAAATGTTGCAACAGTAACAAAGTTTTTAAACAAACATGCCTGTGTATGCTCACTTACCTCTTCATACTCAATGGCACGGGCTGCTCGGGCTCTCTGCATATCGCCTTTAGTCAGCGATGTTTCTTCGAAATGTACGGTATCATCAAAAGAACCCTGGTCGAAAATATATATACATGTAAATTTCTTCATTGCCAAATCAAATACTTTCAAATTATTTACCGGTGCACTGCTGCCATGCAAAGTGCTGTCCGACAAATCACTTTCCGGTATTGCCACTAGTTCAGATTCCGTCTCATCCGCTTCCAAACTAGAGTCATTGTACTTACGGAATGCGTGTTGTAGCTTTGGTGTGAAAGCGACATTTTGGCCTTTACTTTTTGATGCGGCGCTAGTACCTTCCGACGGAAACATTGGACTAGCTGGTGGACTAGCATCCTTCTCATCAGGATCTGTACCCAAAGAGGGTTGACTAACGTCGCGTGAACGTGATGTACCTTGTATATCCAATATGGTGGTGGTTGGTATGCGGCGACATTGATGGAAATGATTGCGCAAACTGTTCATAACCATGCGCATTGCTGAGATCACGTACGCACTGTACGGTGGCTGGGTGTAGGAATACTTATAGAGCACCACCAGTACCGTTAACATCCAATTGCGACGCGGATATTGTTCCAAATACCAAAGTGAATAATTGAAAACCAAATTTTGATAGCAATCAGCAGCCGTATTACTGGGATTCGGTGCGTACAATATGATCTGCATTATCGAGGGAAGTATTAGACCACCAATCAAGTGGTTTTGATCCAAAACTTGTGGTAGATTTGCGAGGAATGCATTGAAGACTGCCGAAACACTGAGGTAATGTCGCAAGAAAAATTATAAATATTATATTTCATTTAAAGTGAGGATTCGTGCAGTTTATTTACCGTAGATTCTCCGGCGTTGTGTGGAAAGTTTTATCTATCTGATTGTGGCCTAAAAGCAAAAATAAATGCTTGAGCACAATATTCTGAGTTTTGGATACCGGTTTATCTTCCGAGGGGAATGCCTGGTCGGTGCGCGACATGAACTGCATTAGCAGAAAAACGAGCAAATGAATTGTTTCTCGATCGGACTCTTCCAGCTCGGTAATGCGACTTAGCAATCCAATAAGGTTGTCATCATTAATACCACCCAGAGAGTGAATATGTCCGTCTGTATGAGGAAAAGTAATTTACTCGTATATTTCTGTAACACTTGAGGAGTGTCAAATAGAATGACACCAGAGTTTAAGTGTCATTCCATAGCGACATTTGTATTTACAGCTTCTTTAAATAATACATCTATTCTTTAGCTATATAGACATAGAAGTATATACATATATACGCAAGCTTATGAAAATACATACATACCAGTACAGAAGTACACACTGATTTGGCACTTTTGGGAAGAACAACACATAATTAATTAATCTTCCAACTCGAACCACTGAGTGGCTGAGCAAACTTGGATTCAAAGTTTCGAGCTGGTTGAGCTCCTCAGCAAAATAGCGATAAGGCGACATCAAGTTGGTAGATTGTGACATTAATAAACTCGTACAACAATTAAAGATTAATACGAGTTTGGACTGAAACCGTTGGACACCAAATGAGATCAAACATGCTTATGAATATGAGGTGAGACATTTACTAATGAGTTGTAGAACACCAAGTAGAAGAAATAAAGATATCATAGGAAAAAGAGCTCAAATATATGTGTATATTGTTTGAAACAAAAAGTTAACGAAATAACGCTGAAATATAAATAAAAACTAAAAATAGTAGGCATAACTTAAGAACGTAAAGTTAGTCCGCCGTACGCTTTTCAAAACCTGAAAGCTACAGAAGGAAGGTACTACTACCAAAAGAATATTAAAGATATTTCTGTAAATGTTTGGCAAGGCTATGCAGGAGCTCAGCGAATCAGTTTTAGAATATGAGCTTACGTCCACTCAGGTTTGAATAGCACCAGTATATGGAAGATTTACTATGAATGTTTCAGATGTGGCTTATGATATAAGTTGTAAATAGTTTGGCAGAAATTGATTAGTTTTTAATATTTTTTTTTTATAAAAATAAAGTTGAAGATTCCTTCTAAAACAAGTATTCCGTCTGTATAACATGTCTATGTACTTGTATGTATACAGAATTTCCTGGATCAACGAGTAAAAAATGCAATAAACAGAATTCTAAGCTTGTATCTTCAAACAAAAAAAAAACACGATTAAAAATATATATTTTTGCCGCACTAGATCATAGACCTTACCTATAATAATAATAATAACCACAGTTTAGGCAGAGCAAGTTGGAACAGTTCGAAAGTAGTCAAAGCGGTTACAAGAGTGAGACTTATTGTCATGATAAAATCCTGAGACGCGTTAAAGGAATTCATGAGAGCAAATATCATGAGCACGAGTAGGGATCCAGGTTTTGATTTTAAAGACAATCGTAGTGTTTTACTTCAGCAAAGTAACACCAAAGAACACGAAATACATACATATATTTACAATGCGGACTTAAGCCAGTTCATCGGCCATATAAAAAATAGCATGCAGATTAAAAGTTGAAGATTTTCATGACGAACAGGGGCGGCAGCATACATCAGAGAAGATAGTGACATAGAAACATCGATTTTGGTTGCATGGAGTATTGTAGAGACAGTGTGTATGTGTATGTCGTTCAAAACTCACAATCAAACGATGTTTTCTGACCAAGGATTTGAAAATTTATTCATTTCTTTGATAAAATATGTGCAAAATGTGATGCTGAAGTATGGCCGAATTCATATGAACGACACACTCATAACACGAGCTTCTGCGCAGCATAATTCCAATTAAAAATCAAGAAAACGAAGACAAAAACGAATGCCAATCAGAAAAAGGAAACATAAATGAAAAACTACTTAAACGCAGTGGCATTCCGCCTGTTACGGGGGAAGCGGAGGAAGGGACGGCATGCACTACAACCTACCTTGGTGAGCCGATGCCGTTGTAGGCGCATTTACGGCGGTGGCGCCACTACCACTAACACCAACACCAACACTGCCTGAAGCACCACCGCAAGTGCAGTGAAGGAACGGATTATTGGTCGTTGTGGGACTGGGGCTGAGGACCGATGTTGCTGATGGCGGTGGCAACAAATTCGGTGCGGACGGATGCTTTTGAAAGTGTGAATGATAGGAGGTGTGATGCGGCTGGTGTGGTGGTAGTGACGTCTTTTGTGTTGACAACATTTGTACGCTCGTTTGCGGCAGTTCTGCTTCCCGCAACGTCGGCAGTGGACTATGCGCTGTGAACGTTTGACTAGGTGTGGGCGCTACGCAATGTACTAAATACTGATGGCTCTGACTATGAGATGCTGAGGAAGCTAAAGTTGATATTGTAGCTATAGATTGTGGTTGTGATGTTGGTGGGGGATGTGCACTACTACCGGTGAAATGCGCAAAATGCGCAACAAAAGTGTTGGTGGAAGTGGATGGTGAATTGGAGGAGAAGAAGAAATTGCTATGTGACGTAGATGTGGCGGGATTATGTAAAGGGCAAGGTTGTGGGGCAGCAGCAGCTGTGGAATGATGTTTCGAGGATGTTGTGGGTTGTGTGGTGTGAGGGTAGGCATGTGGATGAGAGTGGGCGTGTCCGGCACGGGGGTGTTGTATGGGTGGATGACTGGTGGTTGCATAACTATTACTAGAAACATTGGCTTGATTGCCACTAGAGCCTAAAAACTGACCCAAACCGAAACGTGACGTCTTCCGCTTGAGTATGGGCGCCGATATTTGACGACTGTAAATCTTCTCCTTTTCGGGCACTGTGTTAAATAAAGAATATACTTTAGCCTTCAAATCGCAATTTGTAATTAACTATTCACTTTAGTACTTACTAAATTTGGAGTCCTGACGTGGTATCATGCTTGCCGGTGCAGACATAGTGCGCTTGTAAGGCCATTTAGTGCCAAACGAGGCGCTTAGCGTTTTTGCCATACTACCGCTGGTGTCTGATTGGCTCAACGCCTCACGCGCTTTCAAAATCTTAGACGATAGCGCCTCACTACCATTCTCCGAATTACGTAAATCACGCAAATATGAAATACCACCACATTTCTCCAAATTTATTTGCGCCTCCACAAAGAGCGTATCGAAACGATTCAAAAAGAACTCCCAGTTGAGGATTTTTCGATCCGAAAGTGAGTTGTGTAACTGATAAACGGATTGCAACACCACTGGCCGGTCCACGATAAACAAATCGAATTGCGATTCTAAGCAAAAGAGGAGTGACCGAATTGCCGTGTCATGTATGGTGCCAATATAGAGGGTCGCCCGCTGCGCCACATACACATTAATGTCGTCCATGCTGGCGATCAGATGACAAAATGCGGTAGCGAGCGCCGTCTGTAATCCGACTTCGGTGCGCAAGGGGGTCGAGTCCATGAAACGGGTAATTACGGTAACTCGCTCAACTGCTGTGAATCGTATGCGCCAATCGGTGTCATGAAATGCTTCCTGCACAACACGCCAAAATACATCCGAGCCCAGTGGGAGTGTGATACAATGTAGCAGTAGTGGTACGCTTGCTTGACAGATGTGAGAATGCTCGGCGTTGCACAGCCCCCAGAGGCTGGAAAAAACGAGAGAGAATTAGAATTTCTTGCACTTCTTTGAAAAGTACTCTAGAAGTATATATATTAACTCACTTCTTAATCAGTAAATTTTCCTGACACCATATGAAGAAGCCGCGGTGTTCACGTGCGGCTTTAGCTAGAGCGTCGCCATGAAGTGCCATTACATTTAAACATTGTAGAACGTAATACAGAATTTCAGGTTTCTTTATTGTAGGGATTTCCTAAATATGGATCAGAAGAAATTACTAAACATTTCATTCAAAAACCGAGTGAAAAATTTTCGACTCACAGTTAATAGTTGGTGTATATACTGTAGTGTTTGTGGGAGTTGATCCAATGTAAATTTAAATTTACCAACCGAAGTATGCCAAAAATCTTCACCCTCTTCTTCGTCCTCCTCTTCATCGGATACGCTACCATTTTCACCTGCACCACCACCAGTGCTGCCATTTGCTCCACCATTTTCGCCAAGCACTGAGGCTCTCGTTACGCTCACATTGGCACTACCTGTGAAGAGAGAGAGATGAGTATCAACTAATTCGCAGACGAAACTATATTATTATGATGTGTAATGCTTTTTCGGTTTTCATCACGTGTAATAAGGGTGAGTGTAATTTTCAATGAGCGTTGGCATAAAACTAGAGAGGAGAGATGACAAAAGTCCCGCTTTTACTCGAAAAACGAAGTTGCCTTAAAGTTATAAGCCAAATTGCGAACACTGAACGCTATTGGAAAAAATGTTCTGCTATTTTGGTTTTTTATTTTTTGTTGGGATTTAGACCCACAACATAGTGCCGGTCGAACAAACTAACAATGGGTTGTCAAACAAGTCTTGCGGTATTTTTTATTTATTTATTTTATTTTTATTTTATAACGGTTTGATGACTCATGCCCAGCTCTTGACCGATGCTACGGCTGCTACTATGCCGGTGTCTTTCGACCAATTCAGCGATTTTATCGCAATTTTCGACGACAGGCCTTACGGAGAGTGGCGCATCTTCGACCAACTCTACACCAGAACGAAAACGTTGAAGCCATCGTTGTGCGGTGGAAGTGGAAACTGTATCGGGTCCATAAACTGCACAAATTTTATTGGCGGCTTGAGATGCATTTTTGCCTTTATCGTCGTAGTACTGTAAAAAATGCCGTATTTTCTCTTTATTTTGCTCCATATTTTCGACGCTATAACTCACGAACGACTTAAAAGAAACGACAATCAATCAAACACGTGTTAGCGCGGGAAATGAGCTTTCCAAAAAGGTATAGCATGACAGATGCGATGACTGAAACTAGAACTACGCGCTCTCAGCGCCAACTAGCGAAAATACCGCAAGACTTTTATAACAACCTAATATAACACATATACATAGAATTTTTTTTTTACTAAATTTAGGTAAACTGTGTATTCGAAGAAGCTGCAGGAGAAATTACAGTCCCCATCATGTATTTGAGGATTGATAAGGGTTGTCACTTGTGAACCTGTTGAGATCTAGAGCTTAACATACCCATACCTCAGCTTTTAAAGTAAAGATATTAACATTTCAGGGCCACAACTTGCCTGTCAATTCCCTTATGGGGGTTCAAAAAATCCATTGTCTTATTAAATTTTAAGACTTAAGATATATGCCTACTAGTAAGTAAAGTTAAGTATCGGATTGAGAATAATTTTGAATAAAACAAAAGTGGTTCAAGTAGTATATGCCTAAAAGGCCTATTTACAATTTTGTATCTCTATTTGCTCACTTTGTGTCTGCAATTAAAAATGTGTTCTCTATAATATGCTTTTCTACTATATATGTATATCTCGCTTTCTATATCTCTCTTTGTGAGTGTGTTTGAGTGTCTGAGGCGTGTGCGTGTTCCTAGTTTAGAACTCACCAACATCCGCATCGGAGAGCGTTATAGAGCGTGCTATAGCTCTATCCGCCGGCAGGATGGAAGCTAAGTCCAATTGTTCAGAAACTGTTTCCACTGTTGCGGTCATAATCTAAATTGTTTGTTAAAAACCAAAAATTAAAACAAAAACTGTATATTCTCTTTTCAACTTGGTGAGGAACAGAGCTCAGAATCTATATACATCTTTGTTGGAGATTATATACAGCTGTTATACATTCACATATAGACAAGACCACAGAAAATTTGAACGTAACGAATATTGTTTTTTTTAGTCGTTTGTGACACTATAATGTGTATATCCACAAAAACTTTAATGACAGCATTTTAAGAAAAATTCGTAGGAGACAAAATAAAAAATGGTCATAATATACATTTGAATATAAATAACCGTGAACAAAAAGAAATTGTGCAATAAATGTTTGGAACATGAATATTATTGCATTTAAATACATTTGGTGTTGTTGGTGCTGTACAATGAACATTTCTCCGTTTGACATGCTAACATTTATAAAAACAAAAAAAAAAACAAATATTGAAAAAATTAAAATCTATAAATGAAAACGATAATTATTTACATTTATTTTGCTTTTTAAAGATTTTTAAATATTTTTTTCGTATTATTTAATGTATTTTACAATTAATTAAATACTTGGTTTTTGTAATTCACACACATACAAAGTACTTTGAGATAGTGAAATATATAAATTTTAGAAAAAAAAAAACTAACTAATTAACAAATAACGTTGCGAAGCCATTAGTAAAAATTTGATTAAAAACCTATTTACAAAAACAAAACTATTTGTATACAATAGTTAATATTTTTTGCTAACAAAAATAATTAATTGTTCTTGGATTTGTATTTATGTGTATAACGTTATAATCTACCAAGCCTTTTTTAACAGTATCGGAATTAAAATTACTCAAAGTAATCGAAACTTTAGTAGCCCAAAATAATCGATACTCAAACACACTCAAAAGTACTTAAGAGGGTTCGAAAGTATTTAAAAAAAACTCGAAGTTATTCAATGATCGCTCTGAGGTATTCGGTACTAAGTGAATGCTTGAAAACCAGTTTTAATTTCCAAAAGAACTATGTTACTACTATGTTACTATTTTGTCGAAGAGATATTTCGTAGATACGAATTTAACTGAAGAAATTTTTAAGTAACTTTTTGGGAGAAGTTTTCTTTTAGACCAATGTGAGGTTATTTATTAAATGTATAGCTTCAATTTATAATGTTAAAAATATTTGATATTTTACATTCAGTAAAAAAAAAAAGATATTAATCAGAGAAGATCGTTGAAAACGTATATACTTAAAAAGTAGTCCTTCCAAGATACTCAATATTCTCAAAACCAATTTATATGCGAAATTTGTTTTAACTTAGTACAAAAGTGAAACGGGAAAATTTTTACTAACTTTTTTGGAAAGAAATAACTTCTACATAAAAATTTGGGTAGTAAACAAAACATGTCAAAATATTTTCGTAAGTATAAAAAAATAAAGACAAAACTGGTCAATCTGGCGTTTTCTTCGAATCACGTTAATATCAATTATTTTTATAGCTGGGTTGATTTCCTATCATGATCTCTTTAGCAATAGCTTCATACTTCTTGCATATTAGACTGCTATGGACGCCCGGTCTCAGCGGAATCGCTAAACTCTACAAAGCCGATGAGCTGGCTAGAGAGAGCATCCTTTCCCAATTTCATCCGTGTATAGTCGAATCGGTTTTCCCATGTCTGCTTGCGTTCTGGCGTTGGACCTTAGGACCACCAGTGAGCTCAGCATGCGCTGGTCAATAACCAGAACTTATGCGAGTGCGAAATCCTTCTGGCACTTCTGCTATTAGCAAAGTCAATCTTGCCCCAATTACAAGAGTTCTAACTGGAGACTGCCCAATGGGATTACAGGCGGCGCGGCTAAATATTCTATCGGATGCACTTTGCCAGAACTGTATGTAGGAAGACGAGGTGGAGTAATCTTGGCACTTCTTTCTCTAATGCTCAGCTTGTGTTAGACTGAGATTACAATATCTCGGTAGACATACCTTTATCGAACTTAATGAAGTTGTTGGGTTTGAAATTAACCGCCTTAGTAAATTTGTGGTAATCACAAAAGGTTTCGTCGATCGATGAGGATCCACCTTTGAGGGCTTTATGGGTAACACAAAGCAAGTGCAGTAATAAAAACAATTTAAACTGTCAAAACTGTCGATGAATTTCAGAAATATAATTATAAAAAAATGTGTATTTTTTAAACACATAGACAAAAATTGAGTTTGAGGTTTAATCATAGTTTGAGTACAGTTTTAATTAGGTTCGAAAATCATAGGACAACAAATCTGCCGGTAAACGTTTCTTGGACAATAAGTAGTTGTTAGCAAAACTTGAGTAAAATCACATTTCTGAGTAAAACTACTAGGCATTGTTGCCACACAAATTAGAGGGAAGTATATTGTACTTGTACTCTTTCAAAGAGTCCTTAAAAACGTAGTTACTAAACACACTATCTAGTGTATGGACCCATATAAGTCAAACCAAAGTAGAGACGGTGATAAATTGAAGTGTTTTTTAGTTACATTATGTATTATTTACAAAAAACATTAAACATTGCAATGTTCGACTGATGACGCTGGATGACAAAAAATACATAAATAAAATAATCAACTCCTAAGTTCTAGATAATATAACTAAACTTTTAGATATTAAATTACAAAAGCACAACTCAATATTTATCTAAGTTATCTAGTCTTTTTCAGAATATAATGAAAGAATAAGAAATAAATAAATCAACACATACAATGTCTGACGGCAACAAATAAGTCTTAAAAGACTTTAGCCGTAGTAGTTATTAGACTATATGGTGTGACTTATGAAAATAATTTTGTTTTTATAGTTTATATATATTTATTAATGTAGTACGCGTATATAACTATGTTCAGACATACATAGAAGTTTGGTATATATACAGGTAACATAGAATCTAATAGCCTTTTTTCGTGGTTATTTGTTTTTAAATTCTGGTAGGCATGAACCTTAATCGCTTTACAACAACGATAAACAAAAAATATTTTTTTTCATGTAAAAAAAAAAAAAAAATAATAATAATTTGTTTATAAACAATTTAATAATTTTAATTATATGTAATAATAATTTTGTAAGCAAACATTAATCGAACTATTTTATCGATAATTTTTTGAGTTATTTTTCATCGAATTTTCGTATGCACAAAGTACCTCGTCTGTGGCGTGAACTTTTCTCAATTCAATACTATCAACTGAATGCCCATTATCGTTATTCTAAAAAAGTATACGAAATAAAATAAGTTTAAATTATATTTATTTAAATTTTTAATCATCGGAAAGTTAACCATAATTTTGTTTTTACTGCGAGAAAGTAATAAAAAAAACATTTATGTATGTATCCCTGCAATGAAAGCACAAATTGAAAGCACAGGGTATCAATAAGATACGATTAGTATGTGATTAGATTTTGGATTGAAGGTGAACTGTTTTGAAAACAACTGGTCTGATTTCTGTGTATTATCCCGTGCTAGATCTAACTAGTTCTAAAATTCTAAATTAAACTGAGGTATTTCTGGTTGAAAACTAATTAGTTTAGAAAAAAATGAGCTATAAAAGATTATGAACGCGCTGATATCCCCGAAACTATTTGCCGAATAAACTTTGAATTTTCGGGTAACTTTTGCTTCATGACATCTAAAATTTGCATTAAAATTTATTTCTTCGTGCGCTCTTTGATATGTCCTTTTTCATTTCTACTCAATATGAAAATTTTTGTATTTAAGTTAGTTTTATTAATTTTCAAAATTTCAATTTTGGAATAAAGTACCTTTAAACATTTGCATATACGAAAAAAAAGTCTTTCATTATAAAAATAACTAGTTGGCCTAACATTAACGATTTTTTTCTCAGCTTTGCTATGGGATATACGTTAAATTTATTCGACTTTTGTAAAACTAACTTTACTTTTTTATAAAAACATATATTTTGTTAATTTAGTAACTAATTTTATTCAGAAATAGTATCCAATATTTTACCTCAAAAAAACAGGTATATATGTTTTTTATATGAAAATGAAAAATTGTTGAAAAATTATTGTTTTTTACCCGAGGAAACTCGGGGTACATGGGGTAACTCACAATTTACTGAAATCAAACTAAAAGCTTCAGCTAATACTTTTGCCGGGTTCTTTTGTTTATGTTAGGGTCGTTACATTTCTAACTGTACTCTTTTAGGTTGAAATCTTAGACTTGCGATTCATATTGGCTGTAATGGAAGTGGTTTGTAACTAGTTCATTTCACTGCAGGGATGGCATGCGAACATACAAACATACATTGTGTCTTCAATTATTTTCGTTTCTTTGTATATACGAACAGTATTGTGAGCTCGCTTGCCAAAATGTATGATGAAAATAAAAATCAATAAAAATGTAAATATGCAGCGTTGCTTGTATGTATTATAAATACCGTTTAATAATCGTTTACAATATATGTATGAATAAATCTGTAATGCAACTTGGAAACTTTTTTCAACAAACTTCTGCTGTAATGCAACTTCAAACTAAAAAGTTAAACAACAAGTGTCAAACGCATTATTCAATATAACGAATACATACTGTACTTAGTCATCTTTTTACTTAATAATATTATTATATAATATATATATATATATATATTTTTTATTTTTTAATCAAAGTGTTAACTTTAATAATGCTCAAACACGTCAAATTAACATGAACGCATCCTTCAAGTATAAAAACGGAACATAATCAGTATATAAAAATATATGCAAAAGTGTATGGTATGCAATAGTTCATAAATATATTTGTATGCCTGTTATTGTTTTTGTTATGCAAATACTTATACCATTGTTGTATTTTGCTTTAGTTTTGTTGTTGTTGTATTTTTTTTGTTATTGTTTTTCATGTATACATACGGAGCAAACGTGTGGCATATGAACGAGTACACCGCCTACGGAGTGTGGTTCCGGCTGTGGCACTGCTACTGGCACCGGTCCTATGCAACCCGGTCGGCAAGTCAACAATTACGAAAAACGAGAAACAAATATTATATATTAGCTTAATGAATTTGTAGAAATTTGCGTATTTTATCATTGAAATCAAAACTCGAATACACAGGGCATACTAAAGGCTGAACTTATCTTACACGTAGGGTTGCAATCTGGACGGGGTTTCTTTTATAGCTCTGCTCTTCGGTAAGCGAGCGGCAAAAGAACACTTGCTAAAATAATAAAAATGTTTGCATAGCAAACACATAAACTCAGCTATTTCTATACAGTGCAGCGAGTTTGGTAAAATAATATAATGTTATACAATAGTAGAAAAATGTGAAATAACTGTCACAAAAATTCTCAACAACTTTCCGGAAAAAATTAGCCGAGTTGAGCATTCTTTTGCCACTCGCTTACGTAAAACAGATTTTATGTTAATTTAAGTATGAAAAATTAAGACGAGCAAGGGGCGTCGCAGTGGTTGGCTGCGGCTCATGCAACTATTTCTTAATAGTAGTTTATAGTAAAAAAAAGAAAACAAAATCAATTTAAAGCGTTATTCAAAGCTAACGGTTCAAAAACTTATGAACATGACTTCGTAATTACTTATTTTCAAAGGAAATACAGCAAAATATTATATAAATGAGCTTTTGACTAATTACACATGCATTGGAAATTCGATGTTTGTACTATTGTGTGTACTATATGCAAGTATATTTGTGCTTTTCTGTAATTTGGGAATGTCTGTGGTATATGGGGTTCACTGTAGATATGCTTTCATTGGTAAGTAATTACTATGTCGCCAAACACTGATTAAAAATATTTACAACGAATACAGAAAAAGGCACACCAAATGATCAATCACGATTTGTATCCATGTTACGTACTTTTATCCCCATATTTATAATTAGATCCATGAGGCCTTTGAGAGTAGTTTACAAGTGGGAGAATAGCGGCTGAAAACTTAGCGAAAATATAACAGCTTGCAACGAAGTGACACCATTGTATATACCCCCCTCTTTTAATAGGTGAAACTTAACAGTTTAAAATGGCCACTTTTAGCAGAGACCTCTGTAAATTGCTACTTGCCTATATGTTTTTTTAATTTGCTTCAAAACCTTCAAAACTTATAGTAAAATGCATAAATATTTTCACGCGGTTTTAAGCCTGAGAATCATAAAAAATATCGCGAAAATCATTTGGTTTGATGTATCGCTGTTTTCTTGATTTAAACTTGTTGAAGGTTTGTTAGTTAGCAAATGGTGACACGAGTTTTATGTCATAAGTGCACCGAGTTGTGAGTAGATGAACATATTGCGGAAGAGAATATATGCCGTCCCTTAAGAATCCAAATAAAATCCTTTAAATTTACCAAATCTGTCGAGCCGTTTTCCAGTTGATAAAGGAAAACAATTTTAGGCTGAAACCAAAAATCTTGGGTCTGAAATGTCGGAAGTAAACTCGGAAGTACTTACAATGAAATAACAGTAAATGAAAGTTTTTAATCGATATTCGATTAAAAATATATCGTTAGAGGATGAGTTGATGTTTTTATTACGTTTATGAGGATTTTCAGAAAAGAAATAGAGTTATCACTTCCAAAGTAATCAATAGTTGCAGTACCTTTGAAATTATCAACTTTTTATTCAAAGCCATTTTCGCATAGAAAACAAGGAAATGTGTAGAGAAAGAGGATCACATTCCATGGGCCTTTCAACAGGTGTATTGAAGAAAAGTTACTTTTAGATGTTGATGACGGGATGGCATTGGATAGTACTTTAAATCAAAATATAAGTTAACAGATTTGGGGATATGATCAAGCTGTTAGCCTTCATTTATATTACCTGATATTTAAGTAAAGAAATCACTGTTTCTGAGTAAGAAAATTCGATAAAGATTTGTGTGTTTGAAAATGTTTATCATAACGAGCGATTCAAGACCCTAAATTATCAACTTTTAAACATCTTTTAATTATCTAAAATTCTATCAAAAAAGTTGGATTTCTAAAAAAACATTATTTCAGTGAAAACTACCATCTAATAAGCGAGTGTTTCATGGGTCCTATTTATTTCAGTGTGAGAGTTACAGTGTTGCCAAATGTGCGCAGTTTCGTTTGCTCGTGACAAATCTGTCACTTTACGGTGTTCTTGTTTGTTTAGTTTTTGGTGTTTAGAAAACTATTTAAAGTTTTTTTTGTTTAAACATTAGCTTCATTGAAAAAATTCAAAAATTACTTATCAAAAATCAATCATAAACGAAAGTATTATGTAATTAAGTAATAGCTGTAGTAGAGTAGAGTAAGGTAGAAAAAACGTATAGTATAGGAATACGTGAATGCTGGTTGAATGCTGGGATGCTTCACCTGCCATAATTATAATCTTCCCATCGTCTGAAAAGAATTGATCTAGCTTTAAGATGTCTTAAGGATTTGGATGAGCAAAAGTTTATGTAAAAGAATTAGTATCATTTTATTTATTTTTTGTGATTATTGTTGTTGTTGTTGTTGTAGTAGTAATAGTTGTTGTACATATTAGTAGAGTTAAAAAGTGGCACGCAGTGTTGGGAGGGCGTAGGTATAATATAATGAGGCGAGAGCACAGACAGTTAGAGTTCAGAGTACGCGTTTGTTGATAAGGAGAGAGATAGAAAGATAGAGAGATAGAGATACAAGATACATAATAACAAAGTGAGGTAAACAATTTTAATGTTGAGTTGTCTGTACAAAAAAAAAAAATATTTATATATAATATTATATATAAGTACTTATAATTGCGTTCATTGCTTTGAAGTGATAATTATTTATTGTAAAATATTTTAGAAAATTTTTGTTGTGTTTCAAATCGTAAATTTTGGTGAATGCATATATCAAGTAGATAAAGTTGTTAGAATGGCTTAAAGTTCTTTGCACTGTGAGAATTGTAAGTATTTTGGATCACGTGATTTAATATTTTGTAAAGAAACTGCAAATTTTTATGTATGTATATACTTGAAAGCATACAGGGTGCAAATTCTAGGGTGGCTAGGGTAAATTTAATGTTATACTATTTAAAATATCTTTAATTTATTAAATATTTTAAAGTTTATTTTAGATTCATTTTAACTCAACCACATGTGGCTGAACGATTTTAATTGACTTGCAATTATGGATGGTATAATTTGAAATACAATTAAACGAGTACAAAACTACCGAGCGTGAGGTTATCCAATACATTTAATACACACTTACTATGTTTTTACAGATTAAGTGGTTGCATTACGCCAAATTTACAGTGGTCTATTTTCAATTTGTTTGATTAAGCCAATTTCTTCTACATATAATATGTATGTACAAATGTAGGCGAAATTTCTCCACCAATTCTTCGTTGCTTCTAAGGTAGGTCGAAGGAGAAATTTTAATTTGGGTTCCGCATGTGTTTGTATACGTTTGAAATTAGGTGAGGGTATGTGTGTTATGTCTATTTATAATGAATATATATAATTTAAATTGAAGCACCTGCAAAACCGCCTAGTGGACCCAAAGGTATGGGCAGCGGTGCCATTGATAGTGATACATCGCGTTCGCGCGATTTCTCCTTGTCACTTTCGGGTGGACTCTTGCGTGAGGATTTTTCTTCTTCGATGATATCTTCGATTGGTATCTGTGGAAAGCGGAAAGCAAAGCACGTAAACGTTAAAAAATTATTAGTAAAATAATTATTATGTTAGAGTAACTATTCTATAATGCGTTTTCTGAGCTTGTATTTAATTATCTATAGATCACAATGTATGAAGCTGATTGGACTATAGCTAGTTCTTAGCATATTTAAAAAAAAAGAACATATTATATATGTACACATATGCACTGAGCTAGAAGATTGTCAATGGCTTCGAATTATAGTGCGCGTTAGGATTAAAATTCTTTCTGATGGATCTGAAGAATATCTTACATCACTGAATGAATAATCAGTGTACTGACGTCTTGGAGTTCACATCTGGAAAGTCTTTACATCGACATTGTCGACAATTTCGTCTATTTTGGGACAAGTTGAACATCTCAACCAGATATTAGGTTCTATCTCCACAAGCATTCCTTATAAATTACAATAAATAAGTCAGATAAACCTTGGGTTGTTTGGGATTCACGCATAAGATATATTAATCAATGGCATGAACCTTATGAGGTCCTCAAAATAGTTGAAGGAATTATAAACTGTCAGGTTTTTCAAAACAAAAAGATCGTACTAGCTGAAAGTGGAAGGGAGCGGAGTCCTGTTCCAAAGCCAAGCGAAGACAGTATTTGAAAATTGTAAATAAAAACCTGTGCGATATGGTCGACTCGTACGTAATGGACACGTGTTATGCTTCTAATAAAATTTCCTATATACAAGATCAGAGAGGTTTGAAATTGTTTACCATGAGGTGCAAAAATTATTTTAAAATTGATAAATTACTTACATCTGGTGGGCGTACAGGATTCAGTGGTGCCATAAATTGTACCAGCTTGGTCGCCAGTTGGTGCCACATAATGGATGCCTCACAATAAGCACACTCAGCCACCTTAGTTAAATGATGGCAAAACAATTGTCTAATTGCACCTCTTAATAGACATATGTATAACCGAACTCTTTACCTTAAGTGAGCAGACGTGACTGCTCAAGCCCACACGTGCCGCAGTGACCATGCACTTGATCAAGCGCGATACATTCTCACAGACGCTGGTGTGTATGCCCATGTGCTGTTCAACGTCCTGCAGCTCCATTTGCTTCAACAAGATATCCAACATGAGAATGCAACAAGTAAGATTGTGCTCGGCATCTGTAGAAAATTCAGTGTGACGATTGGTAGGCGCTTCGTCATCCGAAATTGCGGATGTATTGCCCGAGTCGTCTTCGACTACTGGAGCTATTCAAAGCCATTAACAAAATAACTCATTAGGAGAGTTCAGTTAAATAGCTTTTATAACTTACAAATCGAGCTTCGACGTGGTGGATTACCCAATTCGTTTTTTGTCTCCTTCAACGGGGTTTTTGGTCCCTTACCCTGTCCTTCTTTTTCGCGCATGAGCTCATGTTGCACGCCATATTTCATGATACGTACACCATCGCCGAACATGGCGAATAACTGCACCAGTGGTATCAGTATACCCAGCTTTGTGAGTATCTGCAACCAATGCAATGCTTGTTGTTGCACTTTAGCTGTGGTCTTTTCGAACCGTATCGCCACAAAATTGTACATAGTTTTAGCATCGAATCCGAGTGGCGACATTTCCGGATCGAGTATTTTGCTAAGTACAATTTTTAGCTCATTCAACTCCTTTTCGCCTACATCGTTGGTGATTGCCTCCATCCAGTGTGGCATAACATAGTCCCAGATTTCAGAAGTAATGACTTCATAGGGTACCAGGCATATGAGACGTTGCAGTCCCTCTTTCAGGTGGCTAGTTCGTGAAGCTAATGTCTCCCAGTGTCCTCCCACACGCGCATACTCTGGCGGATGTGGTAGCAAACAAGAGATAAAGACCTGTGAAGATACAATGCAATTGGTGTTAATAATTATAAGGTAGTAATGAGACACTATTATATATTATATATAATACTCACATTGTAATGTATGCGACAAATCTCCTTAAGCCAATTACAGACATGCTCCACCTTAAGTTTTTCGATGGTGCTCTCGATTTGGCTAGCTACTATGAGGGATTAATTGGAATACAGAATAAATACGGTAAATGGCTGTACTCTCGACTTACCATCATATGAGCACGCTGTTACATGGAACCAATGAAAGAGCATACTAAGTATGCGTCCTAATACCTCCACTGGCATTTCGGGAGTCGGTGTGCAACGACCCACTAACAACCAGATGCCATAGCGGCCCAACATTTGGCGCTCTTCCAATGTTATGGTGTCTGGTGTGCCATTGCCACCGTTTTTCTTCGCATCCGCACCATCCTTGCCGGGCTCAAAATTAAGCGGTTTAGCTTCGCGTAACAAACTAATCACGGACTCCACCATGTGCATCTGTATCTCTGGATCCATTTGCCAAATGATTTGGAGACTACGATGCACCACATGATCGCCACCCCGTCGTGAATTGTGTCGATTGCTGTGACACAGCGAGCAGTAACGTATCGGGTGATTTCCATTATAGCTAGCACACTCGGTAGAGAAACAGATCGAGAAGGCTGCCTTATCGGTCGAGCGGCAATTCTTATTCTCACATACCATAGAGACTTGCTGCATGGGATGGAGAATGTCGCCAAACTCGAGGTTTGCATGTTTGCGATGAATCTCATTGGCGCATTCAATGCAAAGATAAAGTGGGGGTGGACAGTCGGGTGCATAGCTGATGCTTATGCTGTGATCAAAACAAACTTTGGCCGCCTCAGCATTGCCAGCGTTGGGGCATTGTTCGCATTGACACACAAAGGGCACCATGTCGTCTGCGGAATGAAGTAGTGGGATTGTGTTTCAATTATAAGTAAATCGTATTTTTGCTATAAAATAAAGGCTTACGTACTTGTTAGTTTGGACAATAAAACTTTACGATCGAATAGGTTCGGATCGAAAGCGGGCCAATAGTAGAATAGTAGTTTGGCTGCCGAGGAACGTGACATAGAGGTGCCGTATGCGATAACGCAAAGTATATCCTTGACAACATTATGTTTAAGTGTCATCAGACATTCTAGCAGTTGACAGTGGTGTGCTGCAAAGGTTCATTGCAAAAGTTATCAAAACATTTGTAAGTCACCAATATAATAAGAGTACTTACCGGGATTATGAGAATATTGAAGAACCATCATAATGACCGAAGAGACTGCCTGACATGCCTGACATTCTTGTTCATCTGCGCTGCGTCGGGCTGTCGGATGGGATAATATAAATTTCAAGCTTGAATTTTTTTCAAAAACTGAAGAGAAAGTTTGTTATATTTTTCTATTTTAGGTTATAGTGGAACGGATTTTCCAGCGAAGCTAAAATAAATACTTTACACAACTATGATTTAGAGCGTTATCTCTAGATCATAATTCATCAAACTTTCTACCTAAGCCTGTCGAAAGGCGAAAGTGTTTAAACACGTGAACGTTTTAGATGTTTCTGAAATAAGTTGAGAGTTGGACAATGCTGTTTGAGCATGTCTCTCACTGTTGATAGATTTATACAGGGTTGAAAAACCTCAGTTTTCCGTTTGCGATTTCATACTTACTTATAGTAAAAGGTAGAATATAGTAGCATAGTGCATTAACGATATCTTGGTGTAAAGCTGGTGGTAGTACAGACATAGTAGAGCTGACCAGATAGGGTAAATTGTCAATTAAATCCTTATCTAGGAAAGGTAGTATGCAGCAAAGACACTGCAACAGAGCCTTTCCAAACACTGCGAATTAGTAGAGAAAAGATATTTTATAAATTGAATACCTGCATAAATCTCTATCTGCACTCACCGATTTGTCCATATTGTATGCACGGTGCCACATCAATGAGCATTGTAAGAGCATTATAGAGGTTACCATATTCAAGATTTGGGTAGGCTGACATGCGTGTGGGATCCTCGGAGGGGTCGCGTATAAGTTCGTGTGGTGAGGTACGTACATCTTTGAGGACAGCTGCGTAGAAAGGATCATATATATATATATATGTAAATCTCGACAATACTTTGCGAAAAGTCGGTGTTTAGTGAGTAACTTACTTAATAGGGTTTGTGAAAAGTATTTGATATTGTTAGCAATATCGACGCCAGAGGGCGTGGGTTGGGTATTTTGTAGCAGGCGTACATGCGAATCATGGAGACATCGCAATTTGGCTTGGACTAAAAGAGAGAGCGTAATTATTTATATAAATTGTCGCATAAATAAATACTTATTTAATAAATATATTTAGATATTTCGTGAAAGATGATTTCTTGTTAATTTATTTTACACATAACGAAGAGAATGCGAGGAAGCTTCTTTCAAAAAGTAAGCGAAGGCATTTTCGCCTCCTTTTAACTTCTTCATTTCGGGTATAATTGCATACCAAGTTGTCTTTTACCGATTTACGTTGTTATCACTATCGTCATGAACTTAGTTGACGAATGAACTTCGTGATAGAACCTTCTTCCCAACACAAACACAGATTGATATAGATTGTCAAAAGAATTTAGAGATCCGTATTTTATTTAAAGTTTTTTTCCAAATTTGCTTAGGCCTCCATTGGAATATGGCTCTATGGTATGAAATTCTAGTTACTAAATTCATTCTGCCAAGTTAGCGCCTGGTCAAAAACAAAAAAATTTTCGTATTTCCGATGGCATTCTAGGTTAATTCATCTTCCAAACATTAGTCGCTAAAAACTTTTAAATCTACATATATTATCTAGTCGTAGTGAAATGCTTGACATAATATTTTCAGTGAAAATCGTGAACGGAGTAAATTTTTGTTTACATATGTAGCTGAGCAATTTTAACTCCTTCGGCTTTAATGACATCAGATTCCGTATTGTGTCTCTCGTGTCGTCGTCTTAAAGAAAAAACGTCTAGCTTGACGATACTTATGCTGTTTAGCATAGCAGGCATTTGTTAATTATTATAGAAAATAACTATTTGGCATTCTATACTCGGCACTAGTTTCTTTCGGTCACTAGGTATCAAGTCAGGTGGAAGCCCATTCGTAAATAGTTTACTGAATTCTGAATTCAGGTTTTACTTGTATAACACCGAAGTCAATGGAAGTTAAAAAGAAGATATTATGGACGAAACCATAGAAAGAGTACACAAATTAATTTTGAAAATTAGCGTAAAATGCAAAATTAGCAGAGGATCTGGCCTCACATTTTTTATTTCTCAGTACCTTAAAGAATTCTCGCTGAAAAGAAATTTTGCAACAATGAATTGTCGGGTAATTGTCGAACAGAGGTTTATCTAAAAGGTGAATTTGCATTACAATTGTGTAAATATTTATTATTTTAATGATGATTGAAAAAAAGTTGATATGCAAAAACATGGACAAATTAATGATAATTTAAATATCTGATTTATTAGCAATAAAAATTAATAATTTCAGTAGTGAGTACTTCCTCCATTGTTAGTAATACCTTCTATCCGGTTCTTCATAAAATGATACAGGGAAGCTACATATGTAGCTCAAGGAAATCTCAATTCAAGCACGTTTAATAGCTGCAGTTAATGTTTCCGTATCTTCGTATCGCTTTTCTCCTTCGTATACCTTCCATGTTAGCCAGCCACAAACATTTTCAGTTATGTTAAGATATGGAGAATATGGTAGTCAGGTCATGACACTAACGTTTTGGCTCGAAATAAACGACTTTATTACTCGGGCGTTATAAATGTGAGCATTGTCTTGTTGACAAATCCAAGGAACTGGTGTAAAGAGATCTCTTAATTGTGGAAATGCGGACTCCAACAATGATGGTCGATGAACCGAGTCAATTGTTTCATAAAACGTGATGGCACCCCACACCATGACTCCACCTTCTCGGCTATGGTGGCGACTTAAATATATCTCATCTTTCCGCAAATCGTGATAATAATATTGGAAGCCATCAGGGCCATCTAAACGTTTTTCATCAGTAAAAACAGCTGAACGCCAATCATTAAGTCGTGTGGCAGATTGAATAGTCCACGTCACGTATTCTTTCGCTAATCGAAGCCGTTTCTCTTTGTGCAGTTCATTCTGAGCGGGTTATTTCTTGATTGTTAAACGCTTTATGTATTCTGCATTTCTGATCGTCCGCTAAACAGTTGAAAGGCTTGCTTTTACTCTGCCTAATTCCTTAAGCTTAGCGGCAGACTTCGTCGAATTTGACGCAATTCTACAAATTTTGCATACTGATTTTTCAGACAGGTCTTTATTTTTTCCTTTAAAGTTTTTTCCATATGCCTCTGGATCCTTTAAATATCTAGCAACGGTTCTGGAGCTGCATTTTATCTGTTTGGCAATGTTTCGATTGGATAGTCTTCGGGAATGAAAAAAGTCTACTTTACCAATCAGCTCAGACTAGCTGCTTTTCCCATTACTATGTTAAATGTAGCTCGAAAACAATTTATTTGTTTATTTTGAATACTTTCTCAATAGAAAAACTGCACTTGTTTACGCAAGACAAAAGAAAATTGGTCTATTTCAATGACGAACCGAAAACGAACGTAATTGCCATAGACATTTCTGGAATTTTCGAATGTATAGTAATTTTTTCGCTAAACAACCTACTATTAGCAAATATTTTTCGGACAAGATTCGAACTTTGATAAGAAAATCATTTTAGACAATAAGAACAAGCATGATTATAAATACAAAAAAAAATGTTGGTGCGTCTAACCTATGACCCCTATGATATAATTATACTCATATACACATACTCAATTCGGGGTGCTGTTTTGTTTTGTAAAAGCGAATTTTTCAGTTACTTCATTCACTTTAATATGTTTTTTAATTATTTCAGATATAATATATTGACAAAGCACTGCTTAAAACAAAAAGAAACAAATAAGGAACTTGCAAGTATTAAATCCAGGGATGTAATTTCAAGTACATAAGATCTGTTGGTTATATATAGCCTGGGGCGAGTTTTATGCTATGATGCATTAATATCATATGATACAAAGTAATATAATAGGATACCACTAAATCTCTGAGAGTGCGACACTTGTAGTGGAAACTTGCTCCCAAAAAAAGGAGCATAGCTCCCGAAATACATTTTCTTTATTAAAACTAACTAGACGTTTTTTAACTTATATACGAACTAGTCATACAGTTTTTAAGATATCGCTATGAAATTTTGCAAACATCATATTCTCTTCAAGATGCTTCTAACTTGTCGGAACTGCCGGACCACTATAACATATAGCTGCCATATAAACTGAACGATCGGAATGAAGTTCTTGTATGGAAAACTTTCACATTTGACAAAGTATCTTTAAGAAATTTCATATAGATTATTATTTAAGGCAACACTGTAATCTCCGAAGAAATTGTTCAGATCGGCTTACTATAGCATATAGCTGCCATACAAACTATGTTATGGCTCTGCTGTGGCTCCCGACAAAGTGAGAGCGGTAGCGATAGCATAGCAATAATTATAGAAATTGTTGCTACGGAGTAGCAAATGAAAACCCTGATTTTTAACTAAAACACGTTTTTTTCACTTTAGATTATCCCATAAGGAGTTATCCTGCCAACGCTGGCATATTTTTTTTTCGAAAATTTTTTCGAATTCTTAATAGTCTGTGTTTGCAACAATAAAAAATTATAATAAAATATTTATTTTTTTATAAGAGAAATTTTTTTTGAAAAAGTGCAGTTTTTTACCCGATATACCCACGTAACCCCTTAATTACTATGCTAAACATAAACCAGTTTGTTTATAGTACCTGTTTATAAATGTATGTACCTCTCAGTAGAGCGTAGCGATCTTTACAATGGATAAAAATATGAAATAAAGAATCTGACTGAAATATCGTATTTCTAACCAAATTTCGTGTGCGGAATCATTGCGAATGTTGGAGAAGACTTATTCGTATTCAGTTTTACCAAAAACACAAGCCTACGAACAGGTCTCTGTGGACATGCTTGATCGTGCGAATTCCGATACCATATTCATGCAGAGTCTATTAACTGCCAATGAGACATGGATTTATGAGTTTGACATGCAAACAAGTCAATCATCGAAATGGAACCCGTTTTCTGTCGATCGAAGAGCTGAAAGTCATCGCAATGAGTGCTTGTGAAAAGTGTTTCGAAGATTAGAAAAATCGTTGGCATAAGTGTAAAATTTTGATGAATAATTATATATTTTGACTTTTATTTAAAATTTTTGGATACTTCTTTGCCTCAATTATTAATAAACATGTTTTYAATATCCTTATGGTCGATCGTATCGCATTTTTGTCATATTTTTGCCAGACATTATATGCCTTCGGTTGTCGGTATTTTTTGGATAGTTGAGTTATTTATGATCGATCAAAGCTTTTCCTTCAAAATAGTAACTAATCCCTGACAAAAGCGGCTGATATCAAACAGATTTAATTTAATAATTTTTGTAAGAAATGTTTAAGACTTATAGAGAGATGTTTGGGCTTAATAGCCGTTCTTAAGATATAAGACTTAAGCTAAATATGATTCTATTTAAAATTGTGGAGTTATGCATATGTAAGTATGTAAGTGTATGTATTACTCGACAAATACGCTAGAAATCGATTCTCACAATACATTAGTGAAAAATATTCAACGGCTTAATGAAACTGGAGGTCTTGCATGGCTTTACGCAAGTATAAATATTAAGTAAAAGCTTGGAACAGACCGCAGGAAACAGGTCTTTTATATATATATTTACATAGTAACTATATACTATAAACATATGTATGTATATATAGATTTTATGTTAGTTTTTAGTGCATATTAGAATATTTTTCAACTTACAAGCAGCTGCGCGAGTGCCCATATTGACAAGCTGATTTTTGAAGGTATCAGACATTATATCAGGCAAATCCTTCCCATCGCCAAAGCCGCTCCCAAAGCAGTTGGCATTCTGCAAAATACGAAAAGTAAGTAATGTAAAGGAAGTTCTTATAGAAAAATATCAAATAGTAAATTTATTGTCTTTAATGAACCTGTTTTTACTAATTATAGTAATTTTCATCAAAATTTTCAAAACTTCAGCAATTATATAAGAACTACGCCCTACTTTCTACGGATGCTGTAGAATCTCATGCAAAAGTTTCACAGTTATCGCAAGAAAATAGCTAACTTTTTGATTCCACACAATAAACAAACACTCTGCCATAAAATTGTGAAGAACTTGCCTCAAAATTTGTTAATTTTTTTAATAAATTTGCAATTTTTCACAAGATTATCGTATACACGCACTGCAGCTACCAAAATCTCCACCTAAAGTGTTCGCAAATGAAAATTTTCGCGTGTATGTATCCACCAGCACGACAGTTATCTATACGGTGAAAGTGCTCGAAGCGGAGAATTGTGCAACGGAACTGCTCGGCAGCGAGGCTGAGGTATGACAACCCCTCACAGTGGCAGCTGTGGAATGTTCTCCGATACCCAAACCCGCTTTTTACTTTACTGATAAACGTTTTGGCATTTCGTAAAATCAATAGCTGCCCCCGCCTTTGCGCGCAGTCTCATCGCCACATCGTGAACAGCTGTTGGCGGCAGGACATGCGCTGTGACGATAACCGCTGCTTTGTTTACCTTTTCATTTACCGTGTGTAAACAAAACAACTACTCATTTGTATGGGAAGTTATGAAGCCACAAGTGTTTGTTGCTGTAAATATTTACATTTCCCGTTATGCATTTGTGTTAGTGTTATCATCGTTCGGCCAGCTGTCGACGCAATGCGCCGGCTCAGCACTTTGTTTACAAACATTATCAGCTGTTTGAACTTTATCAGCACAGTTTTGGACGTGTATTGGTAGGAGTTGTAGACAAATAGGTGCTCAACAGGTAGTGGTCGCATTGTGATTATCGTCTTCTTGCACATTGCAATTCCATTCCAATTTTTTGCCGGCTTCTTATTCTTACGTCATCAGTCGATATTTTGGCCTGACCTTCATCACACCCAGCGAACATTAAAGAAAGTGCGTTAGCTTCCTAGAGCTATATGAAGCTTGCAAGCTATCCGCATAGTACGTTGAAGTAGCCGAATCAAATCTTTTGTTGAGGTTAAATGTTTTCTTAATATTTTGGCTTTAATTAAAGCCCAAACATTTTCTATTGAAATGACTTTTGGTAAGTTTATTGACCAATCTAAGGTAAAGACATGGTCGTAGTCAATTTCGTCTATCTAGGAATCAGTATTAACACCAACAACAATGCCAGCCTCGAAATCCAAAGCAGAAATACCTGGCTTCGCTTGCAATCTCCAATTGGCGCCCAACAGCAAAAAGAAAAAATGACTAGCGCAATGTTGTTAACTCGGCTATATTCGAAGCCGAGTCCAGAAGTCTAGTTTCACTCATTTTTGCATTGTCAGTGACATTCCGATGTTATGTCATATATCGAATTTGATTGAAATTGGTCGAGCATGCCCTGAGATATGCGTTTTCTCTTAAAAGTGTGCGGTGTCATGTCTATACTTCAATTTCGCCCCCTGCATCCATAGAATCGTCTCATATCATCTGAGAGTTAAAATTTCGCTGCTACTTTAGTTATTGTTTTATTGCATATTTGGTAGTTTTAACAGTACCGTTATATCCATTTTTAAATTTTCGGGAGGGCTGTCCTGAGCGAATTTGGTTATTTTAGCTAGTTTTAAGAGAAATGAGAAATATTGGTAAATTAGATAGCTACTTGGACTTAGCTTGAAATGCACTCCATCAATCAGCTTGTCTGTGGTTCTCAATGGCACAGAAATTTTATATTAAGAACACGGGGTTCCAATGTCCCTGATGTATAAATACGTCTGGTTGTTAGTTTTTAATCTGTGTGAGACCTATAATTGTTACCGGCGATTTTGAACTGAAGCTTGATTCTCGTCGTGCCTGTTTTAAGACAAATCATTTTTTTCAACATTACTTAACCGCATTTCTCTTCAAATGCCTGCACATATATTTTTGAAATATCTGTCTGTTTTTGTGTATTGAGATTGATTTTAAAATTTTTCCAAAAAAACTAATAAATCGTCTTTTATTCTTGAAATTTTATTTTCAAATATTAACAACAATAAAACAAAAGTAATCACAAACAAAGAAGGATGTCGCAAAGCATATCTGCAGCACCGCCATTACACGACATACCGTTACCCGGTGCCGAAGAACGTGGCGACGCGGCGTGCGAAGCACACAAAGCGAACAACTCTAAGACCAACTCGTTAAAGCGCTTCTTCAAATTGGCACACCGACGACATAACGGTGGCGAAGAGATGCCTACTGGTTCGTGTGATGTATTGCCCGAAGATGGCGGCGAACCGAAAGACGAAATCGACAAGGAGGAAGCAGACAAAGATGGTGAACTGGATAAGCCAAAGAAGGAGCATGCGAGACGCTTTCATTTACGCCTAGGTGGCGTTACGCGCATCGGTGTGTTTCTGTGCTATGATTACAACAATCAACTAATCGTTTAACTTTTTTTCTTTCTGATTTCCATTGCGCTTGCAGCGGAACACTCTAATGCCACCAATTTGATGCCAAACGCGCCAAGTCGACAGTCGTTGAAGAACTCCATTTCCAGCTATTGGCACACAGTATTTCGACGTGCAAGTAAGAAAGCTGTCAGGCAAAGTTCCGACCGGAATGACGACGATGAAGGGGACTGTGATGAGGTGGAAGAGGAAACCAACGAGTCGGAATCGGACGAAGAGTTGCACACGCTGCCGATCTCAGATGATACCATCGAACAGGTGACACAATCGAACAAATAAATCAACACCAAAGGATGAGTGAAAGTAAGGAAGACAGAAATTTACGCAAGCAATTGGAGATTGGAGATTTCGTGGCATAAAAATACAGCTGGTGGTGGTGTGGCAACTTAAAAACTCTCGGTATATGCAAAAATCTTTGTGTGAATTTTTATAGTTTCCAACATTTTATTTAGACCTAACGTCACAATACGATTTTATGCTATTTGCGGCAAATTTATTTTGTTTATAAAATTTGTCATTAACATTTAAAAAAAAAAAAGGCGTCGACTTTTCATTGCATATTTTAAGGAGGAGACTGGAATTGAAGAAAGCCTGGTATGTTTTTGAAATATATTTTGCTTCCCCTGCTGTAACTAACACGCCTACAATAACAATCAAAGTTCAAGGTTCAGTTAAACCAGCCGGAAAAGAAGACATTTGCAGCTGTTAGCCAAATGCGCCGGCTACAAGCTCCGCTGTGTTGGGTGTAGCTTGCATTGCAACCCTCCACAGTTTACTAGGGGTGTTGTGTGTGTCCGGTAGACTTGTTTATTCAACACGGCGATTATCCCTGCTAACCATTTGTTAATCTGATATTAACACACAAACTGGCGGGTGCTTGTGAAGGTCAACGTTACAGGTAACCAATATCCTGCCTTTTTGCCATGTTTCCACAAGAATTTGGCAGGCTAGCCGCAAACAGAATTGGGCTAAGCTGCAGTTGTAAGCACACGCTTACTTTCGGTTTCTGCACTTACTATACTTATCTTCGCCCATTTACCGCTGTTTATGATTTCTTTTGGTGTTGAAATTTCGTCTGGATCGGAATGAATCCATAGTAATGCCCCGCAAACTTCTTGGTATTCAAGTTCTATGTGATTTTTATTTTTTTGATATGTGTCTTCGCGTGTCTGCAGTTAAAAAATCCCCTTTTTTATTCCTCAAAATATTTGCTTGCTTAATTCTACAGTAAATTGACGTCTCCACTAAAATTTTGGTGTTTAAGCGTAAGTTTAATAGCTGTAATCAATATTGGAATTTAATATTTTCAATCATTACCAATAATTGTGTGATTAATTGCTATCCATATACATACATATGAGTACAAAAAGTCATACTTAGGCAAACCTTCGCTACCTTTATTAACTCCACAGTAAATTGCGACAAAAGTGTGCTACTAGTATAGCCCTTCTTAATAATTTGAGGGCTCTGTTTATGATCAGAAGACGTTTGATCTAGCCCTTAGTGGACCAAGCTCAAAAAAATTAGTATTTCTAATTTATTTTTATTTAAATGTACTGTCAAGTTTGAAGAGCTTGCAAATTTTCAATTATTAACAATTAACATTCAATTAACAATGTTGGCATTTCGAATGCGGTTTGGACGGAATCTTTTTTATGCTGCACATCTCACATCTTCATCGGATTTCAACAATTATTGGCCAATATCCGTATACTCCCAAGTCGAACATCAGTTGCAACCACGACGTTTCTTGCTTGACTGTGTTGGCGTCTGACTCAAGCTTCATTTATTGGCACCAATATCCTTTTGCGCCATTAGGCCTTAATAGCAGGAAGTCAATATCCTGCCAGAGTGATTTTTTCATGTGGTTGACAGTATACGACATTAGAATTAACGAACGTTATTTCCAAAAGCCCCAAAAAAATCTACGAACATTGAACTTGTATTTCCTTGACTTTTCGACCTCTTTTCTTGACTCTAGTTTGCTCAGTGCCATACAAATTAGACGTCAATAATAAGTATTTATTATCTATATATTTATAAACAATTACTTTATTTGTTGTTGATCGTTAATCAAACTCGCCTCTTTTCATTTGCTTGTCTGGCTTCATGTTTGAAGGAAGATCTTTCGATTGACTCTAACTGTTCCATATGCAAACATTTTTAGAGTTGGAGGAACTCTAGGAGTCTAAAGGAGTTAAAATAATTATCAAAGTACACATTCTTGTTCCTGCCCCACTCATTTATTGTGAGGGACAAAAACATACCCTACCCGAAACCAAATCCTTCGTACTTTGATTCCACAGTTTCATCTTTTCCTTGGTATATTGGTATGTTTGGAACTTTTTAATATAGCCATATTGATCTGGCCACCACCACGCATAATTGCTTTCATGGGGCAATATTGTTATATATTTTGTTTATATATACATACATATATATATTTCTAACTTTATTACTGTTTTAATGAGGTATAAAACTAATATAAAAATTCTTCCGTTACGTTTAACAGAGCAAAACGTTTACGTTTGATAGTACTTTAAAGTACCGCTCACCACGAGCACTTCGAGGACTGTTTCGACTCGCATGAGGCATGTTTTCGTTGATCTCATTTCACTGATGCTTTGTGCCAGCCAACTAGATACACTGTGGAACATCTTTGGGATTATTGTCTGGGGGGTGAGAAATTCCAAGTCAGGGTGATGGTACTAGGTCAGTATAGTAAAACCTTCAAAGGGTTTGGCGTTCGTATGTGTCAGGTTTTTTTATGACCTTTTAAATCTTTTC